TGCTTTTTTGTAATGCAGAGGGAGAATCCCAATTCCCTGCTGGTCTTTCTAACTGGAAGGTGCCACTGACGGGTCAGCTCTCACTTTCTCTACATACCCAGGAGAATCTGCACCCTGTGCGATCCCAGTGCACGGCATATTTATATTTCTACAGCCTACACATTTTTTAACAATATCAATTTAGATCTGATGTGCTTGGGATGAAACGGGACTGATACTCTTACCCTACATGTAGTCTCCTATATTGATCAATGAAACATGGTAGAAGAAACCAAAATCGCAGGCATTCTTCTAGTATGGCAGAAAACAAGCACACAGATTTAGCTTTGTAATATGTAACAGGTGTCGTGTTTGAGTATGGTAATTTCTCAGAGGTACTGCCTCCTAGTAATTAATCTCAGAGTTCTGCTGGAAGACAAGTTGCGCAGTTTTTGTCAGTTCACGTGTACACCCACTCTGAATGGTAAAGGAATCCAGAAGACTAATAGGAAAATTATTTCATATATGAAAAGCAAAGTATTAACATTTTCCAGAAGAGAAATCTTGAAGTATGTTTAGTAGTGGAGTACAGGAAAGAAACGTAGTAGACAAATTAAAGATGAATTTGCTGATAGTGAATATGGGAGAGTCATTTGTTTCCTCCTGGAAAAAGCAAACATGTTTAGCAATCCATGGATGACCCTCCCATTTTAAATGCAAGCTTTTCATCTCCAGGACAATTTTGAGGACGCTGGTGTGGGATGGTGCTGAGTTCTTGACAAACCACTTCATCATCACATACAAAGTTTCCCAAACACCCATTTCAGCTTCTACTTAAGGACACGCAAATGTCCTAAGCAGCAGAGTTTCAGGGTATAAGTGGCGTTAGTGAGAGGTGGCAGCACAGTTCACATGGGACTGGAAGACAGTGATAGATAAACACAGCTCAGGAGGGTGCCGCTGTGTGAGTGAAAGGGGTAGAACAAGAGGAAATTCTAAGGCCAGGATCCTACATGCAGCAGAAGCCTGTAAAAGGAGAGCATTCTCCTTATCACTAGACTTCCCCGTATTGTTTTTCTCCACAACATTCATTTTCTTGAGCCAAACTTTTCTGCTTTTTTATTCTGAGAGTTTCAAGGGTCCAGGTAACACCGGCTTGGCTTTGCGAGGGTAGTCTGCCACCCTCTTAAAACATATTTTGTACCTAGGTGATTCTGGTAAGTTCAACAACTGGACCGATTCTTCACCTCTAGCAAAAATGTGTCAGAGGAAGAAGTAGGCCAGTTTTCTCCCGGTTGCACCTTCACCCTCACATAGAGATCACCTGCTCTAAGAGTCAAAGGGCCATTCTGTTTCTGCAGTCCATTTAATGCCCGATCTGCCACATAAGTGAAAACATTCTTTTCGAGTTTAAGGGGATTTGGATTCTTAATTCTTAATCTAAAAACAAGAGCAGCTTGTTATACTGAAAACGTCACGAAATGACAGCCTGGAAAAACTGTGTTGAAAACAACTCTTCGATCGGAGATTATAAAACAATTAGCAAGATGTTTGCAAAAGGACATCTGCTTTAATTGCATACAGGCTTGCAATGTGAGAGAAGGATAGAGGCTGGAATAACCTTTGACCACTGAATTGTATTTCCTGACGATATGAAGCAGAATGCCCTGCGCTTGCACTTTGAAAAGATATAGGGAAATAAATGTTGAATCTTAAGACAGACCCAAATTAATCTTTAATGATTTTGAAACATTTATGTAATCTACCAGTTACATGCAGCAAAAAATAATTTATGAGAAACATAACAAAGAAAATTAGATAGAATAAGGTCAGTCTGCTATCACTGTTGCGCAGCTAAAGTTGTAACCACATTTTCAGTAGCTGGATATTAAGATAATTCATCTATCCGGCACAGGCATTAAAGGCTTGAACCTCTCTTCACTTAATCGTGTAGTTTCACTTTTCAGACGAGCCCTGAAACTCACTTTGTCGGGCGAGTTAATCTGCGGGATGTCTCTCTGCTCAGGAAGGCAGGGCAGCGCGGTGGGATGAGCCCGGGCGGCTCTTCGTGTGGGTGGTGGGACACTGGGCAGCGGCTGGCAAAGCGTCCAACTGCACCCAACCCAACGGCCTCGAGGAGATGGTGACAGTCCAGCGGCGCCCAGCACAGAACAACGATCGGCACACTGCACCTGTCACACCTGCCTTGCTGTTAGCTGTGGACAGTGACATCAACCAGGTGAAGAAATTCTCTGTGAAGGCACACGCACAAGATGCATAAGCCAGGCTCCTGCGTGAAAATCGTCTTTGACATCCTTTGGTCATGAGCAGATACAAACACATCAAGTCTTGGGGGAAATTACTTGTAATTAACCTGAAGAAAAGTATAGCTGATTATCGACCCATGTTTTGCCAAGTGCGGCTGGCAGCAGAGAGAGATCTCAATCCTTCACGTGCTTAAGCAAACATCTGATTTTACTACGGTGGACTTTATTGTGTACCTAAAGGTTTCCACAGCCAGTGGTTTATAATCAAGAGACAAAGGGTTTTTTGCATTTCAGTGCTTCCCTGCGTTAAAACGGAGGCCCAAGTGGAGATGACAAGGGGTTGTGACATGGCCATGAAGAGGCACACGGGGCTGGCGGGGTGAGGAGGGTGTTATAGGTAGATTAAGGCAAATCACATCCAAACATGGATTAAAGAATCTTTATTAAGGTAAGAGAGCAAATGCAGCGCTGGGGTGGCGGAGGAGTTGCAGCTCCATCCAGGCTCACCAAATTGTTTAAGTTTCAAACCTCCTTTTATCCACTCAGCTGCAGGTTTCAACACCTTCGGCACGCCTCCTGGCTTCTTCTACGATCTTCTTTCTTCAGTCCTGTGGTCACGCACACCTTGTCCTTCAGGTCTGGGCCAATTTGCAGCTCCTTTGTCTTTTATGGCTCAGTGGTTTCAGTTCCTCTCTTATCTCAAGGACAAGGGATACCAGAGATGGCCCATTCTGTTCTTTCTCATTCCATTGCAAAGGAGTTACCATCCTTTGATATGGACCATCTGGTGAGCATCCCAAGAGGGGGGCTGTTGGGTTGGTGTTTCCTCAGATCAATTTCCCCCTTTTCCCAGTAGTAAAGTCTTTTACTTTTCTTAAAATTTGGATCATTGTAGTAATAATAGCTTTAGCCTAAGAAGTAAATTTTTAATTACTTTTAGCGAAAGCAAAATTCTTCTATTACTTATCACAAGGGGAACAATGGGCTGGCAGACCCCTCAACCCGGGTAAACCCCCCGTCTCTCAAACACGGGTTACGAGGGCCAGGACCCGCCTCACAGATCGGCTGTGCAAGATGGAGCGGGAAGTGGCTCAAGCCACTCGTTCACCCCACTTTTAACCAGAAAGGCTCACTTTCCATCACCATCATCACTCCCTCACGGCGGGCCCCAGAGCTCGCACACTGTAGCCTGGGCTAGGAAGGCCGCAGCGCGGAGTCGTCACCCGGACTCCCTCCCTCACAACGGGGGAAGACGCTGCGGCCTGAACGGGCCTGGGGTCCCTGTCCCCTCCCGCGGGGCGCTGAGGACGTGAGGACTCCCCGGGGAGCTCCGCGCACCGGGCCGGGCCCTGCCCGGGGACCGTGAGGGGGGTGAAGGGGCTCCCGCCGCCGCGCGGGGCCGGGCCCCGGTCGCCCCGGTAACGGTTGCCTAGCGAAGGCCGCAGGCGGCCGAGCCCCGCGCCTGCGCAGTGGCTGCCTCTTCCCCCCCCCCCCCCCCCCCCGCTTCCCGCGCCGGCTGCGGGCTTGGCGGCGCGCGCGCGCGCGAGCGGGTCCCGCCTCCTTTCCCGCCGAGCGCGCGCCGCCCCGGCCGGCAGCGAGAAGGAGAGAAGCGGGGGGGGGGGGGGGCGCGCGGGAGCGCGCGGGCAAGAGGCGGGCGCATGCGCGCGCGCGCGGTCCCGAGCGGCGGCTGCCCCGGCCCGGCGGCGGCGGCGGCGGCGGCGGCGGCGGCGGCGGCTCCTTCACTCCCTCCCGCCCCGGCCCCGGCCTGCCGAGCCCCCCCCCCCCCCCCCCCCCCCCCCCCCCCCGCTCACGCCTTCACGGCGGTGCCCGCCCCCCTCCGCCAGCCCCGGGGATGAGGCAGCGGTAGCCGCGGAAAGGTGAGGCGGCGGGGCCCTGTAGGCCGCGGGGCGGGCGGGTGTGAGGAGGGGGGGGAGCAGCGGCGGGGGCTCGGCGGTTCCCGTGTGCGGAGCAGCCTCCTGGCGCCGGGTGGGCTGCGCCCCTCTCCCTCCTCCTCCTCTTCCTCCTCCTCCTCCTCCTCCTCCCGGGTGGGGGCGGGGATGCGGGCAGGGCCGCGGCGGGGAGGGGGAGCCGCCGTCCCCCCCCTGCCCTTCCTCCGGCGGGGCGAGCGGTGCGGGGATGGGCGTGCGGGCCAGAAACCTCTGCTGCTTCTCCGGGCCGAGGCGAGGGAAGGAGGCTCAGGTGCTGCCCCCAGGCCTGCCCCTGTCCCCGGCGCGGCCCCGCGGGGCGGGGGCGGTGCGGGTGGGGGCCGCGGTACCTGCCCGCATTGTTCGGCTGCCAGGCGGGGGGGGTGGGGGAGTGGGGGGGGGGGGGGGGGGGGGAGGACGGGGCTGCGGGGGGGTGCGCTGGGAGCGGGGGGGGGGAGGGAGCGCCCCAGCCTTTCTTTATTCCAGCGGTCGGGCAGGTGATGGGGCTGCGCCTTTCTTCTTTCGCTAACGCCAGCTCGCAGCCGCGGCGGAGGGCTTTCTGTGAGTAAATGCGTGCCTTTCGTAAAAAGGGATGCTTGCTCTGCGCTCGGATGTCTTTTGATTTCCGAGTGGGTTTTGAATGGCTAAGTAAGCCTTCCCGATGAAAATCCCGAAGGATGTCGGGCCTGTGGTGTGCAGCCCACTGTATTGTGCCTGGTGTAATGTGCGCTGGTGATCCATTCAGCCAATTCCTCTCCTGTGCGCTTTTAAAAATGCGGTGGGTACGACGGCTTGTGTAAAAGTCTGCTGCCTTTTGTTTTTGTTTTAGATGGTGGATGTTGATGTTTGTGCGAGTGGAGATAGCACCAGAAGAAAAATGGATGCCCTAACAGATAGTGCAGTTGAGATTGTTCCTTTGGAGCTCTATGATTCAGCCAGAGCAAAAATAGCTGCTAATCTACAATGGATATGTGCTAAAGCCTACGGAATAGGTAAGATCACTTTTATTAGGAAGTCATTCTTCGTTCTTGCTTTTTCTGTCTCCTCTGCTATTCCAGAGGTAATTAAATTGGGCTTAAATCGCCTTTGTTTTAAATATCAATAATATGGCACTGTGTTCTCTTGTAATATTATATGTCTAGTGGTACCTTCAACAGGAATAATGCAACTATATGAGATGCCCTGAATCAGCAAACCTAATGGTGAACGCTCACAGACTGTGCTTGTGAAGAATGCATACCCCAAAATGTTTAAATCCTCATTTTAGCTAAGTTAATTTTCTTCCACAGAACTGTATGTCATTGATTGCCAGCCCCGAGTCGCTCCAGGCTGTGAAGGCTTTAGTCTAGTCATCTTGGCCAACAGATGCTAGGACCTTGATACCCTTTGTATACTGAGTTAGAACTGTTTTGGGGTTTTTTGGGGTCAGATTGTGGTTTTGGTTTCAAAATGAACTAAAAAGCAATCCGTTTATGATGAGCAACATTCTTCTACATAAAAGAAATGTTGGATTAGCAGGTACTGTGTGTGCTCAGTGACATTAAGCAGCAAGTTGTAGGTGATAGAGTTCTTCCTTCCCTGATGTTGTCATAAACCTTCACAGTCAAACATGGAAAAATAAAGGTTCTTGGAGTATCACTTGTACAGTATTTTTCTGGCATCTGTTAAAATTTGCTTTTTGTATTTTGCACTCAATCTGTCTGGCTATTCTGAATTACTGCTACATCTCGAGTAACTTCATTATGGAGAAACATGATGGAATACTTGTGGCTTTTGTATATTCAGAACAAAGCATATGATAAAACATGTGCTGAATCTTGTTTTGGGAAATGAGGTAGCCCTGTTAATCTAAGTCTAATTTGCCAAACTCGTAATACGCTTAATGGATTAGCACTAGCTTACTTTGTGACAAGGCTGAAGAAAAGCAGTCCATTCCTGCAGGTAAATATTAATACTTGTTGGAATATTTTTCTAAATTGTTTTTCTTTTTCACTATTTCCTGCTGTGTCGGTGTTCTCATCATCTTAATGATTATGGGGAAATAGAAAATCATGATTTTATGATATTTGATATTAGTGAAGGTATTTCATTACAAGCAAGCAGAAGAAAAAAAAAAGAACTATCTATCACATAGCATCTAAAAATGTGGGAATTTGGGGAGGTTTAGTAAAACATTGATAATTTAAAGGAATTGAAAGGGTATTACCTCATGTAAATATTTTTCAGTTGCTGGAATTGTTTGTAGTGTTTCCTGAAAACTTTGTAGTGATCAGAGATAAAATGGGTATTCCAGACACAGATACACACTATTTATATTATGACTTTGTTCCAAAAGAAAGCTAATCCTAAACTAGAACTGACTGGTGTGGATCCTACGCTGCAGAAAAAGCTTTCTGGCCTTGTGTTTCTTGGTGGTGTTTTCTGGGGCTCCAGAACTCAGGGTTGCGTTTGCCTGTCTTGGACCAGTTAACTGGTTAACAGCAAGGCTGTTTATGCATCTGACAGCCTGGACTTACATTGAGAGAGGATTTGACATTCCTTTAACTGAAAGCTAAAAAGAAACCCACCTTCCGTAATGACAATGATGTGATCTCTAGCTTAGAGAAGGTTGTAGCAGCATTTGCCAGTTCTTGTACTTGCATTTATTTAGGCTTGTTCAGATTACATTTTAATAGAAGTTAAATGCCATGAACAGTAGGAAACAATATTTTTGCTGGGACTTTTGGTGTTGTGTTGTTGATTAGTTCCAGTGAGTAAGTTTTTCTTGTGTGTGTGTATCTTTGTAGGACTGCGGCCCGTGGAAATTTAGTTTGATTTTTGAAATGTCTCCTACAAGGCGTTGTCACATACTGACCATTACTTCTGGACTAGCATTGCAAAATACCTAGAAATTTATAAGCCTCTTTAGTTCATAGAGAGATGGATTTAAAAGGTTTCCTATGTGATTATAATTTTGCATAATTTTTCAACTTAATACATTACTTCTCGTCTTTCCAGGTTTTCTTTTTCTGTTAAGGTATTGGGTGTTGTTCAGTGGGTCTTGGGCAGCTACCAAGCAATTGTGAATTTGTTACATAAAATCTCACTAGGCAGATGAGAGTTTTGGGGGCTTTTTTGTTATTTTAGACTTAGTTCTGGTCAATTTGGTGGGGGAAAAAAAAAAGCTTCTTTGTTTATAATATTAAAACACTGTCTTTTTGTTCTGAAGTAATTTTTATCTAAAAGGATTTCCATAACTGCCTTCAAATGGCTAAATAAAGAGTGTTTTTCTGAAATGTTAGATTTGGAATTGACATATATGAATGGACATAATTTTGTGCCTTAGTCTTTCAAATGCTGCTGCATGTCCTGGATGTCATTTTCATCTGAGTAAGGCTAAGCTCATGCTGAAGTGTGGGAATGGTCAAGAAAAGAAATTTGATTCTAGTGTAGAATGTTACTAAAAGTCATTCATCACTGCAGGTTTTACCTGAAACTGTGTTTTCTATTTACTGTTAAAGGATATTTGAATTCTCCACATCTAAGCTGGCATCTAAGTAGGAAAACTCTTTCTTCTTTGTTTTTTTTTTCTCAAGGACAAATTACTGAGAGCATGCATGACACATAATTTGGAATTGAAGTCTGGTTTGGGCTTTGTTTCATCTGATGATGCGTTCCTCCTTTTTTCCCTTCTGGCAATTAAAAGAATTTTGGTAGCCAAACAGAGCACAGCTACCTTCTCTCTTCAACACAAATACTGCTAGTGAGACAGCTCCCCGCTTCTTACATAGGAACTGGGCTGAAGGATTTGTTTCTGGAAGCCCAGAGCTCCTCCTCACTGTCTGTGGTGGCTGCCTGGTTGGCACAGATGGACTCCAGAGGGAGGTCTTACAACTGTTTGTCTGAATTCCAGAAGGCAGAGGGGAAGGTTGTTGTGAAGGAAGGTTTTTCCCTATTCAGTTTCATCCGTCTCCCCAAATAAATCTGTGAGTACTAACATGGATCACTCTCAAAGCCGTTGCACAAATATCTGGAAACCTTTACACCTGAAAGATTATAAAGTCCATATAGCTGAGAGAGTAGTTTGAGGGAATGGAATTTGATTAGAACAGAATTATCTTTTATCATCATCAAAGTTTGATTAGAACTGAATGTGCACTTGAAGGAATTCTACTAGCAGTGTGAAAATATATTTCATAACGTTTAAGTGGCCAAGGAGCGAGGATGCCACTGAGCTTGCGGAACTTTAGTTCACAGGAGGTGAGCGTGGGAGGTTTAGAGAGGCTTGGCAAGCTGTCCGTGGGAGAGATCGCTTTTTCAGAGTTGGTGGAATGAACCAGATTGCCAGGCAGTGATGGGGCCGTGCGCTGTGCAAGGCTGAGCAGAGGGAAGCGGACCCGGTCCTTCAGCACCGCTGTCCCCTCTGGCTCTGGGCAGCAGCAGTCAGAATGAATACAACTAGTACGTTTTCATTATGTACATCGAGGAAAAATAGACAGTGATAACGAAAAATTTTGATTTCTCAGCAGATTTAGTTAGCACAGCATTAATTTATGTGTAGAAACTTTTTTCCATCATCATTGTTATAACGGTAGAATTTAGATAGGGAAGGAGTACATGGAAGTTTCTCAGTGTTGCAGCTTGCTGTGAACAAGTGGGTTGTTTGCAGTCCTTTCCCTGACAAGTGTTGTTGCTTCTTTAAAACGGTTTGTAAAATTTGTATTTTTCAAGATGAACTTGGTGGGTTTTACTTATTTATTAGGGCTAGGAGTTTTACATAGTTTCCAGACTTAATGCTAACATCAGCCTGAGACCTGTGGCGAGATACAGGCAGGAAATCCAAGAACTAATATAATGCATTGTAGGGGAAATGCAAGTTGTGGCTTTTTTAGGTCTTTGAAGTACTTAATACTTACCTGTTAAATAAGGTTTTACAGTACCCTAATAGCTACCCACAGTTACCAGTTGGTAGAGGCAGTGTGAGCATGTTTCCTGAGCTAAATTGACTGAATCCCTGGGTTCCCCACTTCTGTTCGTTGCCAGCTTTCTTCTCAGGTACAAAGTAAAAATATTTTTAAGAAAGATGTTGTGTTTTGCAAATATTCAATAGTTAAACATTTGTTTCTTTAATAATGCCTGTTTCATAAGCACTGAGTATTACTTGTGTGAAGTTTACACAGGTGAAGAATTCCATGGTTATTATTTTGTCTCTTCTGCTTCATCCAGGTTTGTGACTTTATGCTTGATTAAAAGATATGATAATGAGAGTGTGGTCACTCTCACCAGCAGTATACAAAGTCTTTAGCTTTTTTTTTTTGCCCGTTGTATGTAAATTTTCATGTGTAATATTATAGGTCACTTAGGGGGTTTATAATCTGTAATTATAAGTTCTGTAATGAGAATCAACAAAGAATGTTTTTGTTATAATGCAGATGGTCTGAGTAGCTGAGGATATGTAGCTTCTGCTCATGATCTGCAGCTTAGAGGACATTTGTACGGTACTAAATAATTCTGTGAACAGATACTGATACTAATGAAATCCTACTCAGAATGTGAATAAACTTCATTCTGTTTACCATGATGCTTTGGCTCTCTTTCCATGTGAAACCAGTTCTCCATGCTTCTGGAAGTAAAATAAGATGTGGGGTGTATCCACTTCTCCAGTTCAAGAGTTAAGTCAAATTTGTTCAGATTGTTGTATTTTTCTTTATCAAATTGTAATCAGGTAGTCGTCTTTGAGCAGGCTTTTGCAAATGAAATGAGAAAGAAATAGTCCCTACCCTAAAGCCAGGAGAGTCTGGTAATAATCGTGTCTCTGACAGTTGTTGCAAGTGAAGTTATTTTTGTAATCCTGTAAACTATGTTGTACGTGGTGATTTATACTTGGAACGGACAGTTTTTTGAGAGATTAGAACTCATTGGTATGATGGAACAGACCAAAAGAATTGCTTCATGAGAAATTATGTTGCTTTATTTTTGAGTCCTTCATCTCATAAAAATAGCTGTCAGAGGTATCTCTCCAGTAGGTTCAGTAGGGCAAGAACAGTTGAGAGTTTATGCTGTTGAAACTTGGAAAAAATACATTATTACTTTGATTTCATAAGTGTGGGAAATAGCAAAAATGAGCATTTTTGCTCTATAGTAAGCTGACTGCATGCAACTCAGTAATATGGTATAAAATTAATGTAAAATCCATGTGTGAAAGAGATCCAGTCAACTGATATTATGTATAATATGGTAAATTCTTTGACAATTTTTGATAAAAAACTTGGGAGAAACTGAACTAATAATGTATGCCTTCACAGATCTGATTATCAGGTTACATGCTGTTGTTTTTAAGTTATATAAAAACAGTGGTAGTTTTTAAGCTTTTTGTCTTTTGAATGCCTCTGTCTAAAGTTTTTGTTGAAGTGTGTACTAACATTTTCCTTGGGCAACAACTCGGTAGATTAGAATAAACAGAAGGTGTTTGTCAGTTTTTCGATAACATGCAATAGTAACATAAAAGTGATCACTTTGGAATTAAGATGGTGTCGGAGACACTTTTATAAGAAAAAAAAAAAAAAGGGACACAGTTTAATTGGTTTTGGTTTGCTTTGGTACAATTTGTTAAACTGCTTGAGCAAAAATTTTTGTAACTATAGCTTAAAAGTTACTTGCTCAGAAGTTACTTCTTCGTGTTGATTTTTTTCCAAATTCCAAAGCATAAATGTGTAAAAACACAAGTCTTAATGAACAGAATTTTTCTAACATCTAGGTTCAGTTATAGGTCATGAAAGTGAGGTGTTGAAAAAGATCCTTATAGAAAGTGGGACTTGGAAAGACTGGGACATTTTCTTCAAAAAGATCATTGACACATTCTGTAGTGAGGCAAGCAAAAAGCGTATGACATGTTTGGAGTTTGCCTGATCCATAAAAACTGAGGAGAAAAGCTATCGGTAACTATCGTGGCTACTTGTGTATCTGCAGTGTGTTACTTAAATCAGCATTAGAATAACTCTGATATAGAATTGTTCTAAATCTGACAATGTAGTTCTAAGATTTTTGGCAGTGTGGCAATTCTGACATTTTTAAGGGGATTTTGGAGAATGAGGAGACCTGGGTGCTGCAAATGTTCTGTGTGGTGTTATATTGCAGATAAGAATAATTAGCAGAGATGTGAAAGACAAGATAGGTCTCTAACGTTGCACTTTCAGTTCCAGATTTCAAATATTGATGATATCTCACAATTAGAGCACTTTTTTGTCATGGCTGTCTAGAAAGGCTACGTTACGCTGTTTGAGATAATTGCATTGTGTACAGGACATCTACAGCTGTGATGTTAGGAAGTTTCTCAACTCAGTTACATATTCACATAGCATCCTTTTTGCATTACATTTATTCCTGATGTTTATTTCTTATTGATTGGTGCCTGCTATGTGGATACTACAGTTATATCCAGTATGAAATAAATTTGAATTAAATAATAAAGTTAATATGACACTTCTTGAGCTTTGAAGTGGTTTTTATATCTTAAAATTTCTGTGGTCCTTTAGTCAGGCCATCAAATTAGTTATAGAACTGTTCTTTTCTGTCACAGATAGGCAAATTTAGCTGGCAGAAGTGTTGAATACACTAATGTAGAAAATAAAACTGGGTAAGTTTACATGTTTACAGTGAAATAAATAGCAGTTATGGGAGGATTAATATTTATGAATAGCTTCTTATGTTAGTATTCAAATTATTTTTCTTAGTACTAGAAGTTATTCACCCCACCCCGGTATTTTTAATCCTGGTCAATCCAAAACCATTCAGTCCTTAAGCAATTATATGGAGATCAGAAACATGAAGTTAAAAGGTTCTTCAGTATAAAAGAAAAATATTTTGGATCTTTTGACTGGGTGTTCAGAGTGAAGAACAGTAGCCAAGGTACAAAGTGTATTTGTTTGTTTGTTTTTAATATCTTGGTTTCTGTGACATGTAATCTCATCAGTAAGAACTAGATCCATTTATTGCTAGAAGACTTGTAAAAATTATTAAAATGTTGCTAGTTTAAATGAAGATTAATGTGGGAGGTCTTACTGCCCCTGTCACGCAAGAAGCTGAGCATCCCATTCCACTAGACTCTTCGGTTTTAATATTTTATGTAAAGACCCCGGTGCAATAGATTGTATCCCTTGTGGGTTTGTTAGTGTTGAAGAGAAAGCTTTTTGCTTTCCGTAGGTACAGTCTGTAAAATAATCGCAGTCTGCCTTGTGGGAAAGGGCCCTGAAGCGAGTGGGGAGTGAGCTGGCGGCGTGCTGAGGTGCCGGAGAAGGGCTGGGGCCTTTGTCCAGCCGTTCCTCGCAGCGCGGTTTCAGACAGTCGCCTCGGTTACCCTGCGCTGCGGGGTCTGGGGCGCTGGTGGAGGGCAGATGTTTGTGCTAAACCCCTCAGCTAAGTACCCTCAGCTAAGTACTTCAGATCTCAGACATTTTGAATTTGCATTTTTTGTTGTTTATTTGTTTTAAAAAAGCCTTTAAAACTTGGAGCGGTGCTAATGCTCTTGCCAGAATTGTACTACTTCATGGATATTTTATGAGCTAGGGTTCTGTTATTTCCTTTCACAAATAATTTTATTAAAAAGCAATGTATCTTTGATTGTTAAAAGGTGTAGCTCCTTGTAATGAAGTTAAAATGTCGAATTACATGAGCTGCTTTACATTTTGATTTTTGGGTCTTTCTTCAGTCTTTAGAAATGGAAGCTATAGTTCCCTTTCTGGAAATGGCAATGACTGTTAGATGGAATTAGCTTTCAACAGCCTTTGATTTTAGGTCAGGTTGACTAATGTTAAGCAGATTAAAAATATTTTATTATCTATTTTGCTAAAAATGGACACCCAAGTTAACAAGGGCTGCTTATGTAGTGCCAGTGAGGTTTCATTGTATCTCTTCCAACCATCTTCAGTATACAGTATGTATATCACAGCATTCAATGTCACATAGATTATGATCTTAATTTTTAAAAATTTCAAAAAGCTTTCCATTTTGAAAAATAGGTGCAGTACTGTATGACTGAGTAGCTGTTGAAGCTGTTATGACAACACTGTTTTACTACATGTTTTTATTTGAGATGTACTTCTGGCTCGTGTAGTTGATAACATTCTGCCTTAGTTTCTCTCCTCTATGAAGTGCTCTGCAGTATACAAGTACCGTGCAGCTTATTTTGCTGTTCAAAGATATGCTACGGGTAGGGGTTCTATTGAATGGGAAAATTATTCTGGAAATGAGCTGAATGAAAAGTAAATATGCTGCCAAATTAATAATTCTTTTAACTGTAGATGTACGTATTTAAAATGAAGTGTCAGAGTGACCTCAGGGGAAGATCTTCACAGTGACTGGATAGCATAAGATAGAATTTTATGTTTGAAAATTATGAAATGTTGGGCTTCTATTAAGACAACACACTTGAGGCTAGAAAGTATTTTTCCTGGAGTTGAAGACTCTCATTATTACTGCTAGGCTATTATAAAGATCAATATCTTCTAGTTTGGTTACTAAATACGAGTAAAAGTATTTATTTTGGGATACCTCTATTTTTAACTTGTTTTCTGCCTTTTCAATAATATCAAGAAACTACTGCTTACAACAGCATTTCCTTCCACTTTTCAACTGTTGTAGTCTGTTGACATTTGCCTTGTGTTGTAGTGCTGCAACCTTTAACACTGGCAGTACTTCAGCTAGCAATGTATGGGCTTGAAATGTCTTGGGCGTGTTTAGAGTGATAAGAATATTACTTGTTGTTAGTGCCTTTGTTTCCTGTGAGCTATGAAGCTGTGCTGAGTGTAGCAAAAGTGGAAGTCTTTATGAGGGTTGGAAACTAGTGGGGAAGAAGTGGTGTGCAAGGATGAAGTCTTCCGTGGTGTTAATTTTAACTTGCATGTAAATTCCTACACTCAGAATCTGTGTTCAGTTTGATAAAATCGTAAGACAACTTGTGGAAATTGTGCCATTTGAAAATAAGTTCATTTTAGACTTGGTTTAAAAATCAAGTTGAATCCAAATCCAAGTTGAGTGGTTTTGCTTCGTAGGCTTTTATTTTTATTTAAAGGCTGAAAAGTTTCAATAAAGCTTCAGTGCTTTTGTCAAAAAAAAAAAATAGACGATTGGCTTGTTGGAGGCTCAATTGTTTTGCAAACCATTTGGAAAATGCTCAAGGTGTTGGTCAGATACTTCGGTCTTTCTATGAACTTTGGCAGTTTAGACCCAAGAAAGGTGGCTTAGTTTTCTTTTTCAATTTGAGAATGTTTGGCCATCCCCTCTTAGTGACCGTTGTAGTTATTTAATTGCTGTGCACAGATGTTTGGGGATATTGCTTGAAGTAGCTGTACATTTTGCTTTGAAGATCTATAAACTTTGCCCGTCTGTTACACAGAGCATTTTAACCTGTGATCTAGATAAATGATTTATAATTCCAGATGAAATTAAAATACAAATAATATGCACTAATCAGTAGAGGTGATAGTGTATCATTCTGACGAAGCTGGGTCTTATTCAAGGAAACAGCTAGAGATGCATAGAGGACAGTGTGACTTTTGTCCGTGTTGAAGTGCTTTCTTGAAAAGGACTCTATCTTGGGAGAGCTATCTGGTAATGTATAGGATTTTTACTGAAGTATGTATATGGCGGGAGGCAATTATATATGCGTTAATTAAAATATAAGCACAAAGACCTGTTGAAAATCATGTACAATGTGAAACTGCAGACTTAATTACATTCAGTACTTTTTGTGCTTGACTTTTTTTGTTCTTTCATATGCTGTCTTTGAATTAAAGTAAAAATGTTAACTTTTGTTTATAACTGATGCCAGTTGTGCCACTTGTTGTAACTTTTCTTTGTTGTTTCAGATAATGTCCCGGAGGAGCTGAAGGACCCATTTTACATAGATCAATATGAGCAAGAACATATTAAACCACCCGTCATCAAGCTGCTGCTGTCCAGCGAGCTGTACTGCCGTGTCTGCAGCCTCATTCTGAAGGGGGATCAGGTGGCTGCTCTGCAGGGACACCAGTCAGTGATCCAGGCTCTGTCTCGAAAAGGGATTTACGTCATGGAGAGTGATGATACACCTGTGTCTGAATCTGATCTGGGCTGTGCACCAATCAAAATGGTTAGCTTAATTAAATCCTCCTAATGATCTTTTTATTTAACACTATTTAAAATAGTTAATGGAATGAAGAGCTCTTAATTTCTAGGTCACTAACCTCAGAATTTTTAATTTTAAATACAGTTAGAATATGCAATTCTTACAGGGTTTGGTTTTTCAATACCCCTTGTTTTCTTCTTTTAGAGTTCCCATATGGCAATGATTGATGCTCTTATGATGGCCTATACTGTAGAAATGATCAGCATTGAAAAGGTGGTTGCTAGTGTCAAGCGTTTTTCTACATTCAGTGCCTCGAAAGAACTGCCCTATGATTTGGAGGACGCAATGGTATTCTGGATTAACAAGGTAAAATTTACTTTGAGAAAAGCGTGCCTGTTTCCTATTGTCATTTTTCGGATTTTTCAAAAGGTTCTGATCTTCCTTACCTGTGCATTTCTATCATCTTTTCCACTTCAGATGAAGAGAACTACTTTAATTACTGTGTTTCTTGTTACTTTTAGTCCAATGATAGTTGGGTATAATACCCTCCTAATACAGATTAGTAATAATAGTATTTGATTCCCCTATTACTGCAACATATTCCAGTTTCATCTTCTTTCTTGGCTTCCCAAGGTTTCCATATGCATTGCGAAGGAGAATCAGACTATCAGGGAAATGCAATTTCTTTTTCTTAGGGATGCTATAATAAAGCTGGTAAATTTTTCAAGGCAAATTTTAAAATAAAGAAGATAATTAAGAACTAAATTATGAAAACAGTAGAAATTGGGTTCTTTATTTTCAGACAAGCTGCTATGAGGGATTGTTTTTGGGGTTGTTTTAGGTGAAGCACCATTTCACGTTAAATAACAGAATAGACTGAATTCTGACTATCTTGAATACATTTAACTGAAATACTGAAACTTTTCAGACGGTAGAGTTTAGGATACTGAAACACTTTCGAGTGACAAGAGAGTCTCATTCCAAAGAGAAATGTCTCCTTTGCAAACCAACGGTTCCCTTGTTGTGATTACAGCTGCTGTGAATAAGAGAGTTGGTCTTGGAAACTGTTGTAACACATTATTCTATGAACTTTTAAAGTTTGTGGAATGTATTAAGTTGAGAGGAGGAAAAAGAAAACTCCACTTGTGGAAACATACATTAGGATTTATTTTAATATATTTTCTATGCTGTGTCCTTTTAGGTGAACCTTAAAATGAGAGAGATAACAGAGAAAGAGATTAAATTAAAGCAACAGCTAATGGAAAGTCCAGGGCACCAAAAGGTAAAACAAATTTGTCCTCAGTTGTGATTTTGTGTATTGCTTATTAATGGATTTAAACATAAATATCTCAGTATTTTCTTTGTCAGAGAAATGCGAGGCATCCATTCCTCAGAACTCCTGAGATTTTGTGCATGCAGTTTGTTTTGTCTATCATCAATGTTCTTCTTTACCTTTCAAGCCCACTGGTATCTTCTGACTTTCCATTAAGTTTCAGATGAACTAAAATAACTTGTTTCAACTTAAAATAACTTATATCAACTTTACATGGGTAAATATGACTCAGCTTTCACAGCACAAAATATATACTATATATTTTGAAAGCTCTTGGGGCATATTCATTTTGCATGGGTTAATTGTCTAATGTATATTCAGTGGCTTATTCAAGTTCTATCTAGTAAGCGTACTCTTGGCATTCAGATGTTATATATATGTGTGTTTGTAGTTTTTTCCACCTTTTTCCCCTTGAAATTATATCACAATGCACTAACATTGCAAAATATAGTACACTTTCATTTCTGGAGAATGTAAAATAGATCTCTCTCAAACATAATGTATATCAGCTATCTGAGCACCCAATTTATAATTTGGTGAAGCCTTAAGAAAAACTGCTGAGTTCTTTCCACAAATTGGCATTCCTGGGCAAAGGAGATAAAAGTGCGACATAGAACAAGGCACAATTGTTTAACTTTCATGTTAGTGGCAAATGGTTTTTATGTGTTTTTTATGTAAAATAATATCCTCCAATGATAAGGGACTAAAGAGCTATTTAATTTACAAGTTGATGCATAATCTGAAGGATCCCTTTAACTATTTGACTCTCTATTGACTTTTGGGTCTCATTTTAATATTTTTAAATCTAAATTTTTAGGCTACAATCCCTCTAAAAATATGAAAGTGTTTCTTGCTGAAGTGCATTTAAGTATTGCTGCTTTTAACTTGCATTGCTGATGTTCCTTTCCTATTCCTACGTTCCTTTCCTTGCTTCCTGAGCAGTCTCCTTCCAAATGGTATTGGAAATTAGTACCTGTAAGTGAACTACTTTTACACCAGTTGTCATCCACAAAATCATGGCTTTTTCAATCTCTCCAGAGTGTTTGCTTCCATTACAATGCTTCTTAGGTGATCTCTGAAAAAAGAACATGTAACCTTTTGGGTCATCAGGCTTAGTTTTCATAACATGATTATTACATACTGTACAGCACATAGCATAATCACTTCACAGCATTTCAGAATTGTTTCCACAGTGCTGGAGTGAGGGATATGAAGTAGCGGCAAAAAACTAGAAAATTTAAAACAGTTGAAATGGTTGCATTTACTATTTTTGTTGTAAGCAAGCAGTTGATGGCAGCACTAAGGTGATACAGATGCTGGTCAGTTTAAAGGGTCGCTTAATCTTTGAATCCATAGTTAAGACACACAGATCTTTGCAGTCTTTCATTAAAGAATACTCTTGCACTGCTCTTGTGCAGGTTTGCAAATCTGTCAAAACCAGAACACCGTTATTCACAGAGATGGGGTTAGAAGATTTGACAAACCAGTTTGGACCCGTTATGACAGTTGTTGGAATTGTATGCTAAATTAATGAGACTGAAGCTGACATAATGGGAGGAAAGACAGTTTACATATCAGAACAAAATACTTTTCTTTATGGTGAAGTGTGAAAACAGAACAGCAATTCCCCTATATAAATATATATATATAAAAAAAAAAATATATACTTTAGTATACAAGCCTGCTTTCTTTTGGCTGAGTTTTCTGGTTTTATTTCAACTCATGGGAAATTTTGCTTTGTTCCTTTGCTTTCCTTAGCCTTGATACCTTTTCTCCTGCACTTGCTGGATTTGGTGTTTTTCATTTACTCTCTGGAAGGATGAGAGCTCTTGTCTCGGTTACACATTCCAAAGAGCAGTGCACTTGGAAAAGGCGTGATCTGGCAGTCACCTGTCCCCTCAATCTCTCTGCCTTTCCACAGAGCTCTCAGTCCCACCCCCCTGCCTCATAATTCTTTATTTGTTTAAACCAAATTTATGGACCACAGTAAAACCTTTGAATATCTGAAATAACGGAAATTCGAGTGGGGACCTGCAGCCTAACAAACTCTGTGATAAAGCTCTGTCTTCCAGCCTCATTTCATGACCTGTGCCATTATGTAAGGCAGTATTGACCTGGTGCTTATCACTTGTGTTCTGCTGTGCTTAAAGATCACACCTGGATTTGAGGCATATGTTTGACAGCGTTTCAAGGAAGTCGAGTAGTTCTGTTTTGTTTAGAGACAACTGGGCGAGAGGAGAAGAAACTACAGAAATGGCACTGACTTGCAGGGTATCGCTGAGCAAGTTGGTGGTAAAGGAAGGAATAAATAGAATTTATCTCACTGCTAGTCCAGTACCACTTAGATTATACTGGTTTTCTAACAGATGTTGCGGTCTCTGTAGTAGTTGTCACACTGTGTCACTTTTGTACTTCTTTTTTCTTTTGTGATTGTTGTTTGTTTTTTTTTTTTTTTTAATATAGAGTTATCTCTATTTCAGTAGCACCCATTTCTGCACTTAAATGCATACAAATATCATTAATTATATGCATGAGGGGAACAATCCACAAAATACAGAATATAAGAAAGAATTCAGAATTTTTCTTTGTAAGACTGAATGGTTAAGAGAATAGGAGTTGGGCAAAAAGTATGGAATTAAATTAAGTCCATAAAAAACCTCCTTGATGATAAATTTGTGTTTTTTCACCAAAGCTAAAATAAACAAGGAATTCTTGTAGATTTTAGTTCTCAGTATTGACTGTAGTTGGAAAGGAAATATTTGTATCTACTTTATATACAAGAAGAATTAAAGTTTAAACATAATTAAGTTTGTCTTTAATATGTTTATTTCTACTAAGTGGATAAATGATGAACCTTTTAAGCTAACCAGTTCACCTTAGTGTGTATACTTATCAGATTTAATGACCATGTTTCCAGTGCATATTGGATGCTGCTAATGCATTTGACTTGTTTCTTGTTTGAATAATCACCATCCTATATCTCACTATTTCTTTTTGTGTAAGCCTGATCTGATGCATGCTGTATTGCACTGCATGCTGGAACCAGTGGAATATGCTCGTGTGGTACAGTATGATTCACATTCCGTTACATATTTGTGGAGTGCTCCAGGCTGGGGAAAAAAGTAATTTGCTCCTGGTAAAAGGAAAGGAAAAATAGCATTAACATATAGAGATAGCTTTTAGACTTGCTTGCCTTTGCCAGGGAAACTTTGACATAACATGTTTATATTTGTGCAAAATAAAAAAATTAAACTGGTTCTTATTACTCTGTAAGTGATCTTTGTTCCTTTGAACAGATTTTTTTTCTCAGCCTGTGCCATCCTAAACTGACACATATGAGCGCGTGTGTGTAGAGAGCTTTCCTAGGCTGTCTTGGAAAGTGTATGATTCCATTGGTAAAACCCAACTTTCCTCTGATTATTAAATTCATTCTGTGTATGTCTGCACATTAGGCCAGCACATCAGTCAAGATAGTTTGTTAAATGCTAAGTGATATTAATGCACTAACGTGTAAAAGGGATCTTTTTTCCAACACTGAAAGGTGTTTCTGCTAGGCTCTGTAGAGTGTTGTCCTTTGGCTTGCCTGATTGCTTTGCTGCTCAAAGTATAATACAGCCTTCTAGCTTAGCTAGCATGTGGATGCTTAGTAAATACCAACACTAAAACTTTTCTTGCAAAAATTGCAAGAAGCAATGCCAAGACTTGTTCTTTAGTTGACTGGCTTTAGCCACTCCTCAGCTGCTCCAAATGATGTGAGGGCTTGGGGTTGGTGTGCAGAAGAGTTTGATACTGATCTGTGGTGAAACCAAGGAGAGTTTTGCCGTTGTTGTAAAAAGCCTACTTGCTCCTCTTGCTGACCACTTTTAGAAAAGGCCGTGCTTTTTTCTCTTGCATGGCATTAGTATTGGATGCTGGCTTGCCAGACACACTGTTCTGAATCTATCTGAGAGAACTTTGCTGTCTGTGGACATGATGGCAAGTCTCTGGATGTAGGTAACGTATGAAAAATCACTAGCTCATCTGAATTATTTTTTGCTGTGCTCTGTTTTGTCTTTCCTAAGCTTTAAGTGTTTTCATGTAGTTACCTGTGTCTCTTTCTTTGGATCTGCTGCATTCATGCATCTGTGTGGAAGGATTTTTTTGACTTAAATTGCTTCTAGTAAGTTAAAGTGTGTGAATGAAGCTAGGAATTCAGCAGCACGGTTTGCTTCCAGATAGGAGAATGATTAAAAGGGAAGCACTGTATTCTTCAGAATTGGCTTCCATTGAGAGAAAACTATAACAATCTAAACTGTTTTTGACTTGGAGCAGAATGCTATAAATGATCCACCGTAAAGAGTTTTCAGTGCTTAACAAAAATTCCTTTTTTTTTTTCTTTTTCTTTTTTTTTTTTTTTTTTTAGCATCATATGAACCCTTGGTTTTTTTTTTGTTAGGTGCGTTACCGAAGAGACCATCTTTCAAGTAGGCAATTACCTTACTTCCCTTTGCTTGAAGATTTGATGAAGGATGGTAGTGATGGTGCTGCTCTTCTAGCTGTGATACACTATTATTGTCCAGAGCAAATGAAACTAGATGGTATGTAATAAAGGTTTCTAGAAAAAAAAAAAAATTCTTCAACTTGTGAAAGTTGAGCTAGAAATACATTATAAAATAAAAATGCAACACATCTAATAGGTAGTGGATTTAGAAGGCTCTGCTCTGTGTATTATGAGCTACAAAATGATCCTTTCTTTTCTAGATCTAGATGATATGGCTTTCTTTGTTCAAATAACTGAGCTTGGGTTCAATAGACCATAAAAAAGGCATACTGTCCACTACTGTTAGGTGGTAATTCTCATGTTCTTCTGTCTGAGTATGTAATTAGACATTGTAAAATCTAGATTTTAAAATAGTATCTCCCAGTCTTCAGCAGTTGTCACTCTTCAGCATATCAAACATGAGTTCTCTTTCCCAGAAAATGTTTTTCTTAATAATTCAATGTCCTTGTTGCATTTAACTTTTATGAATCAACATTTTGTATTGGTTTTTAAATTCTCAGGTATGTTGTACCTTGCAGAGCTCCTGAATGGTTTTGGTTTCAGAAGGAACCAGCACTGTGATTCCTAGGAGTAACCTTTTATTATTGGCAAATCAAGATGTCTGGTTTTAATTGCTTTTGTATTTTGTCGCTATGTGTTCTTTGTAGCCTGCTTACCTTTTATGTTGCTGTGATAGAATCCTATATGGATACTAAAATGAATGCAAAACTGATACTGTTTTATCTGTGTTTTTCTTCCTTCTCCTATCCCTCTGGTATTTAATAGGTAGAGAAATGTCACTGGTAGCCAATAAATATTAAATGATGGTGTATAAGCAGTCTGTGAAGTTCCTGTATGTAGTGTTTCTGTTAGTTGTGGATGGAAAACATTGGAGTAGTGTTGTAACTTGCTCATCTTTTTCACCTTTCTAGATATTTGTTTGAAGGAGGTAACATCAATTGCAGACAGCCTCTATAATATTCAACTTTTGAGAGAATTCTCCAATGAATATCTCAACAAATGCTTTTACCTCACATTGGAGGACATGTTATATGCTCCTTTGGTTTTAAAGGTAAAAAACATCATGAAGGATATAGTTTTAATAATGGGTGGGTAAATCATAAGGGTTTTGTTATCGAGAGGTGTGGTTTTTCTTTTTTCCTGTTTTAGCCTAACGTCATGGTATTCATTGCGGAGCTCTTCTGGTGGTTTGAGAATGTCAAACCAGACTTTGTACAACCAAGAGACATTCAGGAAATAAAAGATGGTAAGTTTTTAATTCTTGATAAATGTTAGCATGCTATTTAAAATACTTACATTACAGTGGAACTGTTGCACAGTGGTGGTTCCTTTGGAGTTTTGTTTCTACCCAGACTTTCTGCTTGCTGGGGATCTTTGAAAGCAATAAAAACAGAACGAAAGTTAGTCCTAGATCCACTTGAGTTCTAGTTTTTGAATGAGATAGACAGGTAATTTTTTTCCTAAAACCAGTAATTATTTACTTGTAACTTTCTGTCCATTAAGGTCACCATAAGACTCACATTTTAAATAAAGACTAGTACTTGAGGTTTCATTTTAGTGTTGTGTTGTAAAGTTTTCATTCTAATGTACTGCAATCTGAAAACTTGCTGTTTTGTTGTTTTAATGGCTAGTGTAAGTTGTGTTAATGTTATAAATATATGCCCAGTTAAAACAGTGTTGCAGCAGAAGAGCAGTCGTCCCCCTGTTCCTATTTCCAATGCCACTAAGCGAAGTTTCATGGCTAGCCCTGCTAGTACAAGCCCAGCAGACTTGCAGCCCTCAGCTCAGACAGGCCCTGAAGCTTGCAATCGATATTACCTGCACCCCGAGGAGCCTGACTATCTGTAAGTCTCTTTTCATGTTGTTTAGACTAATCTTTAGTTTCTGCTTCCATTTGGATAACACAGGAATTTCTGCTGCTAAATGTTCTGATTTTGCTACAAATAGAATGAATTTGAGTTGTGCGCGGTCTCTGAAATATTCTCAGTTCCCAAGTTCAAAGAAATACTTTGCACTGTTAAGTTTGATCTTTGTTTGTCAGATGCCAGTAAACCCCACTGGGAAACATCACCATTGCATTGTAGAAATTAGTCTAACTTGTATTTTGGAAAAAAATGTGAAACGTGAAAACTGTTCAAGCAGCTCATCTGTACTATCTGTATTCTATAAATGGTGATTCGAAAGCAAACTTAAATAGACTCTAATGTACAAGTAGGTTAATTACAAGGTTTTTCAGCTGACCTGAGTTTGATGGCAACCAGTAAATTATTTCAGCCCTTATTTTGTCTCTAGTGTACTATTTACATAAACTCCATTTTAAATCTGCTGTATTTAAAAACTTTTCAGGTAGTAGGTTTACTTCTGTATTGTTACATATGAAAACCTTTCTTCTTTTGAAGTAATTTCTTTAATTTTAATGATGTGTTACTGTGTTTTAAAGAGGATGGGGGTAACTATTACCAGTGTAACTTAAGAACTATATAATTTCTCTCATTATACAAAAAATTCTTATAGTAATGAATTTTCGCTTTTCTGAATTAGTGGCAAAGGAGGAAGCCCTGCCTTTAGCCCTTCCCATCCACTGCTCCCTTTGAGACAAAAGCAACAGAAATCTTTACAGGGAGAAGACAGCCCTGGTAAGTCTACTTTGACTTTGCATTTCAACAGGCAATGACTGCCAACGTCAATACAGTAATGAATAAAAGCATAAGTTCATATATGTGGATGATCTAAAACTGAATTAAACTGCAGTCAGCCAAGTGATAAGCGTGTTTAGTTTGTGCAAAGAGTTGAGTTTGAGTTTTTAAAGATCTTTTAAGAAAATTACAGGATTTTTAATTTCTTTTTTTTTTCCTCTCAGAAATGGGCTAATTTCTCAGAATCTCAAGTGCAAGAAATTAAAACTATTAATGTCAATTCTGTGAAAAGGAAGGAAAAAAACACTTGTCAAATGTTCGTAAGACTAGTACAAGTCTTAGGAAAGAAGATTGTCATCCAGAGTGACAAACTCACTCTAGTGTTTGACATGTTTTGGCTAAGCATTTTTTCTAAATTACTAAAAACCTAAACCCAGAGATGCTCGGGATTTCTTGTATCAGCTAAGGTGCCAGCCAAACATTCCAACTGCTTAGGCTCTAACAACATGCAATGATGACTTTTTTTTTTTTTTTAAATGTTGGGGAGCTGACAGGGAAAGCAGATTGGAAAGCAGATTGAGCAGTTTCATATTTGGAAATCCAAAAGTCAGATATGTATCTGTGGTCACTTTTTATTGTGTTTTTTTCAGGCTTTGGCTGTCTGTCTTTTGCTTAATATTTCAGCAAATCTATTTTCTGCTGCCATCTCTTGGTGAAAGTTTATTATGTTTGCCATTAAGTACAGTAAAAGTGCTAGTTTAAAGACTATTTCTAAACTGTTAACAATTTAAAAAATATTTCAGGTCATCGGCATCGTTCTAATTCTCTGACCCGTGTTGATGGGCAGCCACGAGGTTCAGTTCTTGCATGGCCGGAGAGGAAACCCAGGTAACAGATGCCTTTAAGTATTGCAGTACTGTTTAATGAAAGGATATCGTGATGTGGTATCACGTCCTTAGAACTGGACTGAGAGTCGCTTTGATTTTGTTTTCTTTGAATGTGCTTTTTCAGAGAGGAGTGATTTTAGGATTGCAGTTGAAAATACTGATACTTGAAACATGATTTTCAGTAAGCACTGATGAAAATTGAAGTATCTGAAGTTGCTGTTTAGTATTGCTGGGCACTTTTGATACAGGATACATTTTTCAAACGGAGCAAAGATTTTAGCTCTCTATATCACAGTCCTTAGTTCAACAGATTTGTAACATTTTGTGCTTAAGCGTCAGTAGACTGTTCTTATCTTTTCTAGGCCTCTGTCTCAGCCAACACCATTTGCTCTTCATCATTCTGCCAGTAGTGATGTGGACCCTGGGTCTGGTGATAGCATTAGTCTGGCTAGATCAATCAGCAAAGACAGTCTTGCTTCAAACATTGTTAATGTAACTCCAAAAAATCAGCCCCATCCTCCATCGATGAAAACTAATGGGAAGAGCTTGTTGAACAATGTTGAAATCGAGGATGAAGATGAAGAGCTTATTGCAATAATCAGAGCTGAAGAAAGGCCAAACCGTGGTGATCTTGAATTGCAGAATGCATCAGCCAGGGTGCCCAGCATAGTTGCAACTGCATGGTCTCCAAAAACAAATAGCGAGGCTTCAGAAAGCAAACCAGACAGTTTTTACTTGGAGCCTTTAATGCCTGCCGTTCTAAAACCAGCAAAAGAAAAACAGATAATCAATAAAGAGGATGAATGTGGGGAGGGGAGACAAAGGAGTTTTATAACAAAAAGATTAAATGAAGGACACTTGCCTTTGGTCCGCAAGAAAACAAATAACAGTCATGGTGAGCATGACCTCAATAGGACTTTTACTCCAATTTCTAGTTCTGATTTCACTCCAGTTGCAGATCCCGGTACTGCAGATTCGGTGACACTGGTGGAGGCAGGTTTAGAAGCTTCCAGACCTTTGGCTAGTAGCAGTTTAGATTCTTCCACTCAGGAGCTATCCACTGGAGGATTTTTTCTTCATGCTGCTAAATCTGATGATGACATAGCGAGTAAGGTCAGTGTAAGTTATGTGAAAAGTCTCAATTTGCATGTTCCGGATACTACATGGACTATGGTCAGACAGGACTCTGATTCAGATCTCTTGGACATAGAAGACGCTGAACAGGATTTGGTAGTCATAGATGACCACCCTATAGTCGCTAAATACATTGGCGAGGAAGAATCTGCAAAATTGCAAGAAGATATGAAGGTAAAAGAACACGAAGATAAGGATGATGCTAGTGGACGTTCCAGCCCATGTTTGAGTACAATTTCTCAAGTTAGCAGTGTGTCGGTGGCTAGTGGGAGTGTCCGAATGACCAATTTTGCAGAGCGAAAGCTTCAGAGACTTAATAGCTATGAAACAAAGTCCAGCACAAGTAGTTCACAAAAGACCACGCCAGATGGATCAGAAAGCTGCCCAGCACCACTGACCACATGGAAACAGAAGCGAGAACAAAGCCCCAACAGACAAAATAAAGATAATGTTAATCTTCTAGCTTCTGAATTGGTGCAGCTTCATATGCAGTTGGAAGAGAAACGAAGAGCAATAGAAGCTCAAAAGAAGAAAATGGAAGCCTTATCTGCAAGACAGCGACTAAAATTGGGCAAGGCAGCTTTCTTGCATGTTGTTAAAAAAGGGAAATCTCCTGATGTTCCACATCCTCTTAAACCAGAACATTTTGCAAAAGAATATTCTCGGCACAATGGTGAAGACTTAGATGAAGTTTCCTTGAGTTCCAAATCTGAGGAGTTTCTTGTGAAAGAGGAGGAGAGAGAAGAAATGTTGAATGATTCTCAAGAAGTAACAAAAGTAAAAATCCAAGAAAGCCTAGCTTTTGCTGAGCAACATAAACCGAAAGACTCTGCTGCTCTACATGATTTGGAAAAAAGTAAAATTATTTCTGTTGCCCTCCTAGAAGACAATGTTACTGAAGTGGATATAAATGAATGTGATCTTTCTATTGAAAAACTAAATGAAACGATCAGTACACTTCAGCAGGCTATATTAAAGATTTCTCAGCAGCAGGAACTACTTATGAAATCTCCATCAGTGCCATCACCAGGAACCAGAAGTAACTCTCAGGACCAAAAGGTAAAACCATCAATTCATTTTGTTGAGCCCCTGTCTCCAACTGGAATGAACAGTCTGCGTAAACCACCTCGATTTGGTCAAGGAAGGAGTCCTCGATCAGGAAGACCGGCTGATCTGAAAGTCATTAAAGACAGGCAACAAAATTCAGGACGTGTTAAAACCCCAACACCAAGTCTAGAAACCTTCCCCCATTTAAGACCATTTCCATCCAACAGTTTGTCAAAGACACCGACAGAAATTGGTTTGGAAAGTAGTCCTGATTATGGAGGTGGTTCTCAAGAAAAGTGTTTCTTTGATACTTATAGACTTCATGATGAGAGCAATCAACGGGCACTTGTTCTCTCCACCTCCAAAGATGCAAATATTATTTCTGAAATGAGCAAAGAGGTGAATAACAGCTTCAAGGAAACAGGGTTGAATTCTTCTGATGGCTCAGGAAAAGAAAATGTCCCAGTGGACGAACCACTGAGAAGCAAGGCTAATCTCATTGAAGTAGACTTGTCTGACTTAAAAGCTCCAGATGAAGGAGAACTTGAAAACCAGGATAGCTCTGCAGATATAATTAGTGAAGGTGATCAGAAGTCTGGTGTGGGTTTTTTCTTCAAGGTAAATATATTACCTTTCTATACGTGGTTATTGTTACATATTTGCCCAGCATTAGAGCTATTTTCATCCACTTCATTCTTCAGTCTTCCGATAGGACGCAGTACATTTTGGTTACAATATTAGGATTTTTAAAAACCGCATTGGAAAAGAATTGCTTGTGGAGGAAAAAGTTTTTGGCTTAATGTATGAAATCTAGGTTCTTGTTAACTTTACTGAGGACCAGGATTAACATTGCTTTTCTTCTCTTTCCCTTAGTATTTTTTTTTTTTTTATCTGAGAAACAGACAAACATACAAACATGTTGTAAAAAGAATCACAGAATGCAAGGGAAGACAGTGTTTTGAAATCCCAGCATTCAGTGAACCTGTATCAACTGAAAGAAAAAATTCTACGTGAACACAGGTCTCTAGTAAAAGCCTGCTGAACAGGTTTTAAAACTTGTCAGGGTGCTGAGAGTCTGAACTGGGATTTTTTTTTTTTTTTTTTTTTTAATTTGCACCCAAATTTCTCTGATTTTGAGCAGCCTAGCAGCCTAAAAGTCAAGGGCTGTAATGGAGAATTCAGTTGTATGTCTGTAGATAGAAGTGAAAAATTAGATGCTTCAGTGCACCATTGGAAGGAATTACTTTTTTTTCATGCAGCTTTTTGTTTTTATCCTATAATGGTAGCACAAAGGGCTCATGATGAAAACGTATTAAATTTAACTAATTTTTCTCATTTCACACCAAACTCTGGCTTGGGGAAATGGTTGTTGTTAAGCTGTTGGTTTTTCAGTACAGCAGTATTTCTTATATTGTTGGGTTAGATGTTTTTTTAAATAATGTGTCTACTCCTAGCGAAGTTCAAAACTGCTATCGGAACATTTAGTATCTTAATATGTGCTTAGCAATGATTACTGTGAATATTTCACATGTGCTGACATGACAGTACTTTCTTTTTTAATTTCTCTTTCAAGAAAGTCAAGCTAGACTGTCTCTTGGTCAGTGTAACTTCTGGTTTTATATGGTGTGATTAATGTTGACTGCCTCAGAGGTTATTTGTGCTGTCCATCCTAGCCCACATAGTAGTTGCATTGTACTTTGCAGTTCTAGAAGGTTTTGTGATGATTAAGCGTACTTAAAAACGAGTCAGAGTAAGATGAGAGCCTTTTTTTCACCTCACAGACTTAAGGGAACACTAAAACTGTCTCTTAGGTTTTTCTTGAGCAACAAGAAGTTCAATTCAGTTCTGATTTATCAATTGTAAAAATGTAAAGATTTCCAAAAGTAATAACTTGGGTTTTGCTGGAATCTTTCCAGAAGCCTCAGCAGTCTCGTGATGTCTAACTTAACATGTTTCTTCTCTTCTTTAAAAATCTCTATGCCTGTGAATTTTGCAGGATGAACAGAAAGCAGAAGATGAGCTTGCAAAGAAACGTGCGGCGTTCCTTCTGAAACAGCAGCGCAAAGCTGAGGAGGCTCGGATTCGGAAACAGCAGTTGGAGGCTGAAGTTGAACAAAAAAGAGATGAAGCTCGGTAATAACATGTGGAAAAGAATACTTTTTGAGATGAGGAAGATTATTGTGTTGAATGTAACACTGTGTTTGCTTTTCAGTCGCAAAGCTGAGGAGGACCGAATACGGAAAGAAGAAGAGAAGGCTCGAAGAGAACTTATCAAGCAAGAATATCTAAGGAAAAAACAGCAGCAAATTTTGGAGGAGCAAGGGCTTGGAAAGCCCAAATCAAAGCCCAAAAAACCCAGGCCAAAGTCAGTCCATCGTGAAGAGTCTTACAGTGATTCAGGGACAAAGTGTTCTTCCACACGTAAGATTTTTTTTTATTTGTTTGCTCTCGCTGAGTATGCAAAGCTGCTTCAATAAAACATGTTTCATATTTTCTCTATTATTTTGTAGCCGATAATTTGAGCAGTGCTCAATCTGGTTCCAGCCTTTCTTTGGCTTCAGCAGCAACAACTGAACCTGAAAGCGTGCACTCCGGTGGCACACCATCTCAGAGGTAGAGAGATAGGCTTGATTTCTTTTTTTTTTTTTTTTTTTATTTTTTTTATTTTTTACTCTATTATGAAACAGTGTTGGGATTCAGTGTTGTTTGCTTCAGTTCACTGGCATAGGGCACAATAGTAGAATTCATCTTCCGTTTTATGTGGCTGCCAACTCCGGCGTTCTGTACAAACTTGCAATTTTGTTTTGTTTTCTCTCAAAGGAATAATGGAATTCTGCTTTGATAATACAGCAGGGAGAATCTGACTGGTTTGGGGGAGGAAAAGGGACAATAGCCTGTTCCATTCAGGGTCAGCAACTGGTGAATTTATTTAGATTGGAGGGGAAAAAAACAAAATCTTGGTGTAACTTTTTTGGTTTTTTTATTCCCCTCCCCCCCAGAGTTGAATCAATGGAGTCCTTGCCAATACTGAGCAGAAATCCTAGCAGGAACACAGAGAGAGATTGGGAGAATGCTTCTACAGCATCTTCTATTGCTTCGGTGGCAGAATACACAGGTGACTATTTTGTTTTAGTTTGAGCACTTGTTATGAACAGCAGGTGATAGAAAGCTGTGGTATTATTTGATGTGATACATTGTTATTTTTGAGAAGTTGTCAGCTATATTTTGTTCTATTTAATCTCTCTAAAAGTAAGTTATTGTAGAAAAATATTTTGAAGGTATTTTTTCCCTTTGAATGAAAATGCTCATATTCATAAATGTAGGGCAAATAATTTTTACTTGTTTATCTTCCTTAGGTCCAAAATTATTTAAGGAACCCAGCAGCAAATCAAACAAACCTATTATTCACAATGCTATATCTCATTGCTGTCTTGCTGGAAAAGTGAATGAACCACATAAGAATTCAATATTAGAGGTAAACATTAAAATACAAAATCATTAGTGCGCTCACAATAAAATGTATCTGTAATGTTAATTTCATAATTGCACTGATGCCTTGTAGTGAATGCCATTTCCTCAAATGTGCCTGTATTGAGAACCCTTCCTATGACTGGATGGAATTGTGGAAAACAAGATCCTTTAATAAGAGTTTAACTTGTAAGTTTATAGAAGGACTGAAAATCATAGTTACTGATCTAGTATTTCAGAAAGCTTTAAACGCTGCTTTAGCTATATGTGAAAGGTTAAAACTTGGCATAATATGAGAATTTTCACTGTCAACAATGGATGTATATGTTTGTTTAACGCAGGAACTAGAAAAGTGTGATGCCAACCACTACATCATTTTGTTCCGTGATGCTGGCTGCCAGTTTAGAGCACTTTATTGCTACTATCCTGACACTGAAGAGATCTACAAGCTGACTGGAACAGGGCCAAAGAGCATCACCAAGAAAATGATTGACAAACTTTATAAGTACAGTTCGGACAGAAAACAGTTTAATGTGATTCCAGCCAAAACCATGTCTGTCAGTGTGGATGCTCTTACTATTCATAACCACTTGTGGCAAGCCAAGCGACCTGCAGTGCCAAAGAAGAGTCAGACTCGTAAATGACACTGAGTTCTTGGGGAGAAGATTGCTGAATGGGATTGCAGTGGAAGAAGACACGTTTACCATTTTCCTCCAGTTTGGTATGAAATGTGCAGAACCATAAACATTTTTTAAGAAGCTTCTAAACAGAAACCGTGGATGCAAGTTATTAAGAATGAAGGAACATTGCCAGTGTTTTTTATGAATAATAAATCTGCTGTTACACCCGATGCTAACTACTGTGGCTTTCAACTGATGAGGGACTGTGCATGTAGCAAGATCTTTAACAAGTGGATTTCCTTTTACTTGAAGCTTTTCATCGGTACAAATTGGGAATAATTTAGTTCTGTTTCCTCTCCGCCTCATTCCCTCCTTTTTCCTGTCATTCTTAAAGTTGGCAAGCTCTGAACTTCAGTAGAAGGATTGAACAGATCTTGGGTGAAGTGCTTTGGGTTTGGTTTGGTTTGGTTTTTTAAACAGTCTTTAGGGAAATCTTCCTTTCAGACCTTTTTGAGGAACTGTTTAATACATCAAATTGTTGTACTGTATCTACTGCCAACGTAAGTCCAGCTCTCAGATTTCTGAAAAAAAGCCCCAACTTGTGCTGCTCAGAACAGAGTTTACTTGCAGTATCTGTTTAGGATAAGCATTGCAAGGATTGCAAAAGCCAGTCTTTTTTTTTTTTTAAATTGTTCACAAGTTTAAAGATTTCTGGAATACAATCATGAAGAGGCATACAGGTGCTACTAGCTGGAATATGCCTGACTGAAACTTAAGACAAGCTGAATGGAGCACAGTTATTACTGATTTCAGTTTCAGGTAGTGTCCTAAAGATTTGTTTGCTTTAATAAAGATGGATTCTGGTAGGTATAGAACATTTCCACTCTGAGCACGCTACTCCTGTACAATGGTGCACTTAACGATCACAAATTTTAATGTTTTTATTACATCATGAAATGTAATTCTACTTTTTTTGTCCTGTCTTTATTCTGAATGAGCAGCATGCTCTAAAATGAAGAGTGTGTTATGTTTTTTATTTTGGGTGATATATTAATATATATTGATCTGTTTTTCTCATTTAAAAGCAATTTTTAAACAGAGACATTTGCATTTGTTTCAAAAGCCCAAATAAGTCGAATGGCTTGGATTTCTTTTCATGTTGAAATATTAAATCTTCAGTTATGACCTTAAAAGTCTTTGTGTTTCAGCAGATTAAACTTTTGTCTGTGGTAACAGGGTATATTTGCAGTTTGGTTCCATTTTTTTAATGTTCCCATTTCTCATTTTTGGCCCCGGCTAGACTTCTGAGTAGATTTCTGTAGCTATTACCTAATTTAATCTGCTAACATGCGCCTGCTACATCTAGTCTGACACTACTACTTGAGGGTCATGCAGGCTTATAACTTTGGTTTGCACATGTTTACTTTTATTTGAAGTGTTACTTGAATATGTCTCTCAAGTGCAAAAGGCACTACACCATCCTAGAGATGAACTGAGCTCTAAAATACAATACAGTGTAATTATTAAACCTTGAGAATAATGGAAGTTACAAAGAGTTATGTACATAAGGGGAAAATAGGGTACGTAATAAAATGCTAACTAGATAGAGCAAAGTGAAGGTCTTCCATTGCGATCTCTGCATTTTTTTCCCCTTCCAGTACATCTTGACTAGGCTGCTGCAACTTTGTAAATTATGTTAGATAGTTCGCTGCTTGTAAATAATTAAAGGCTTTATGGTTTCTAAAGTGCTAAGTATTAAACACCGTCATGAGTGTAACTTTTGTTACCATGCTTTTCATGCTTGTGCTTTATTTCTCACTGTTTGATATTATATACCATATTTATTTTATGAAACACTGAAATTTAATAAAAATCATTAACTGATTTCCTTTTTTTCATGTGTACTTTTGTTGTTGTGACACTTCATCCCCTCTAAGAACTAATATACTTTAAAGATGTGCTATTCTGTTTACTTGTGCTTTTAAAAAGTTTCACCTGTAAATAAATAGCTGTAGTAATTTTATGACAAGAACTTAGTTCTTCTGACCCTGATTGCAGTGTGCAAGAATTTGACCAAAAGGCTTTCAGAAAATTGAGAAGTAATTTAACAGTCTTTTTAAGGATTTATTTCATCAGTCTTCAGACTCTTGAATCTGGCTAGTGAGTTTTCTTTGATCTGTGTATTCAGCTAGTGACAATTTTGGAAGCACCAAGAGAATTTCTTTTATTGGGCTCTTCTGTATTAGCTTGCTTGTGATTTGTAAAGTTGCCTGTAGAATTTAGAAGTAAGCTGGCTCTTTAAGCTTCGCAATGAATCCATATTGGTTGCACAGAATTGAAATCTGCATTCTCAAAACTAGACTTTTCTAATGCAGAAATAATTTTCTGTGACTGCAAGATAAATTTTTCCAAGAAGATAGTCCTTGTTTTGTAGAGAATAAAAAAAAAATAAATAAAAAATCAGTGATTTGTACTTTCCTGTATTTCGTTCAGGCTGAGATGTTGCTGCCCGTAGAAAGGACTGGAATAAAAGAAGGTGATGGCACCTTCGGTGTTCTCCTGGATGTGATTGTGCTAGATCAGGTCCTTATTTTTCCTGCTGCAATGTGACTTTGTTGACTGCTGGAAACAACAGGAGGTGCCGTCCCTTTGGAGAGGGAGAGGAGGCCGGGAGTCCTGCAGCTGTAGGCAGCATGTAGTCCCAAGCCCCATGCTGAGGACCGTAGAGGAAGCAGAGGAGAAAGTCATTTTCCAAGACATTAAATTCTCTGAAAAACTAACAGTCTTGAGTTTTAGTTAGCAAAAAAACATTAATCTCAAATACCTTGCAAGGAATATGGTGTATTAATTTAGTCTGGAAACAGGGGGAGAGAGAAGTTTGCTTGTAAGAACATAACGATTTGTGGGTGAATGTGCAGAGGAATGTAGGAAAATTGTAGATGTGTGCAAGCAAGTGCAGACTGCTTTGTAGAAGGGAGAAGAATTAATTTAAAATAGGTTTTGTATAATCCAAAATGTCAACTTAAATTCGTTCACTGCTTGGTGTCAGCCCAGGGTAAAATGTGGTTGTAGGACCATGACTACGTATCTTTGTTAGCATTATTTTTTGTGTTAAGTTTACCAAATTCTGACTACATCGTATTTCTAACTGTGGTTTTAATGACATCATGCTTAATGCTTCGCTTGCAATGACTGAAAATCGTTATGTGTAGGAATAGTTAGGTGACCTGTACACTAATAACTGTCAGGGAAGAATGGTGCCAACTTCTTATTTGCTGATGTCACTTCTAAAAAAAAAAAAAAAAAAAAAAAATTCGCTGTTTAGAATATGAAATGTTGTTTTTTCCACAGCCACGTGAGTACTGTGTAAATACAGTAGAAATGTGTGGAAAGTTACTGGCTGTTTCAGCACTACGGCGCTGCGCTGTATGTCTGGGTGCCTCCTGGAGAGAAATAGAAATCTATTTCTATATTCAATCTATAACTGTCAACCTGCAGCTTAAGTTTAAATTCGTTTAGTTTGTTTTTTCACTGGGATTATCTGGAGCCGGGGTGGTTCCCGGGGTGGTTTGCAGAAGCCAACAGCTCCGGTTTGGCAGAGGAACCTCACAAAGGTTCTCGTTGTGCTTCCTGGGAGTTTGGAGGAGGAGGCAGTGGGAGCTTTAGGTACAGCTGCAGTAGCGGCTTTTCCCGCTGACTGTAGAAGGGAAATAGAGCTGTAATAGCTGTCCAAAGACAAGTGATTTGTTGTTCTTTCTTTCGCTGAATTTTCTGAAGATGTGCCTAAGCTGTGCAATCCGTAAGCCTTTTGCAGCACTCCCTGGAAGCGGAGCACAGCGCTCTCACTGTGTTTGCCCTGAGCTAGAGAACTAGTTTCCCATACAGAGTAGTATTAATGGAGATCTGCCTTTGACCTCTCTCAATTTCTTACTAGTTCCTAACATGTAATAAATGCAAGAATGTACATCTTTAAAGTGCTTTTAAATGCAATTTCTTTTTCTCAAACTTTCATACATCAGTCTGTTGTATATTTGCACGTGCTGTTTGCATTTGTAGTTAATGTGTCTTTGTCACGTTTTCATCATGTTCTCTGGTTAAGTAAGAGTTCAAGCAAAAATGATCTGAGTTTTGAAAATACTGATTGATTTTGAAAACCTTAATAGAGTTTACCAACGGTTTGGGGCTTTACTATAAAGTAGGAGTAACATGAATGAGTTTTCCCCGCAAGTCTTCAGAACTGATCACTAGAGGCAGTGTCAGAACATTCCAACCCCCTCACTTTTTTTTTTTTTTTTTTTTTAATAAATACAGCAACAAATCAGATGTGTCATCTTCACTCTGAACTGACTGTCCTTGGCATTTGGTATCTGTTGTACTTTCTGACAGCAGGATCACACCTGGGGTTTTTCCTCAGTTGTACATTTAGTATAGCCAGTCTTAATGGTTGTGTATTAAGCTATTATCCATGCTATGCTTATCTGATTAAATAGCTTTCAGTTAATTAGGGTTTTAAATGTAATTCATTTTAAGCAGTTCAGTGAGATGTGTGTGGCTGCGTCCTGGTGTGACTGAGGATGGCCATGGTGGGGATGTGTTGCAGCGGGTTTTGTGGTTGGGATGCCGAACAGTAGCTGAATTCTGGGGCTTCAGATGAGGCTGTTTTTATTGTGACATTCCAGGCACACGACTCCAGAATATGACATGCAAAGAAGACTTGAGAGATTGATTTTGTACCCGTTTTTACTGCTACGTTACATATGCAGAACGGAAGAAAACGGAAGTATTTTGTGGGGGAGGTGTTTTTCTGTGCTTCTGATAAGTGAAAACTTTATATAATATCCTTCAGGACAGTTTGAAATTGAGATATTTCTGTGGTCAACAAGTATATTTTTTAGATGTCTAAAATACATCTTTTGGTGCATTAAAGCCAAACCAAGTGAGTTCTTGTCTTCACTTATATTGACCAGGTGTTCTATTGTTTAATTATATATATGAAGACTGAGTATTAAAAATCGGAGAAAAAGTTTACTTCATCTTACCTCTAATTTTTTGGGGTCTTACATGTATGTTATAATATACTTAAAATTTTCATGGATGGTGAGTCTGGTGGTGGATTTAGCTTTAGTACATTGTTGCAGCAACCAAGGAATCTTGATGTGACACATCCGAAGAGATTCTCCACAAGTAATCTTGGGCGGTCACAATATGAGGGCACGTTTAAACTGCCTCTGGCATATGCTTCAGAAACTAAGAGAAGAAAACAGTGAATCTTGACTTTTTTGACAAAAGGGTATGGCATGCATTGTTACAGTCCTTTATCTCACGGAAATTATCAGGACAAATATACCACAATTACAGGAGGAACTTTCACATCATGAAATGTAAGTATATTGCCCACACTGCATTTAAAATTTTGCAATTAACTTCAGATCACCGTTCAGACAATGGACTACTATTATCATATAGTAAGTAAAAAATATTTAGGATTTTTTTGAAATTTTGTTTGGATATATTATCAATATAAAATTATTATATAAGCAAAATATAAAAGCATTCCCGTATGGTTCTGAACTTTCTGTTTGCAGGTATATTAAGGCGTATTTTGGTCTTGGGGGTTTTGAAGATCTTAAGATTCCAGTGTGCATATGAAAAAGGTGTATTTTTGCTCTTCTGTTCCAAGTGGTAAGTTAAACTCTTATTATTAAAATTAAACCAAGCTTTTACCAAAAATGCCATTCCAACCACTTAAACTGTCTTAAATAGGAATATGTTGTTAAGATGACCACTAGTTATTTGTCAGTAATTTTGGCATTTTTGTGTGTGTGTGCTTAAAAGAATTGAAGCCCAGCTACAGTGGTCTGGAGAGTTAACCAAGGCCCACGTTCTTTGCAGTAGAACTATAGTTAGACTATATTAATAGTCTATTAATAGTAGGCTGTATTAATCCATGTTAATATAGCAGTATTTAGAAGACCTTTCATATCTTCTTCATATGAAGATGCACAGTTACAATGGCAGTTTTCTTTGGATGACTTCATAGTATGGACTTCTGATAATCAAAATGTCAACGTAAAAGAAAAGAGAAGAAACAGACATTTCTTCTAAGGCATTTAGTCAGAAGGAATATCCCTTTTGGATGAAAGTCAAATTAACTGAAAAGATTACCTAATTAAATTTTTTTTTTTTTTTTTTTTTCAGATCATAAATGATCCCAAAGCTTATGATTATCTGTTCTTGTCCCCCAGACTGCAGACAGAAAATCACTCAATGTTTGGATAGAAAAATGACAAAAATAAGCTAGTATTTCAGTAGCTGAGCTATATTAAATAGAGTCCATATGGCAAAAGGATAAATTCCAGAAATTGAAAGACTCATTAGGATAGAAATGTGAAATGAAAATTGACTTACCTTTAGTCTATTCCCCTTTTACCTTGCTGGATTCATTCTCTCCATACACCTCACATTGCAGGATTATACCGTGGTAGCTAGCTAAAGCGTACTTAGACGTTTAAGTAATAGATTTTTCTTGTGATAACACTTTCTGGTCTCACAGAGCTGCTGAATTCTTCCCTCCTGGAAAAGGCTCTGGTGGTAACATCTCGCAGCCCACCGGCAGTGGAAGGATTGGCTGGGGGCAGCACGGGTGCCTTCCAGCTGTGCTCGGGGAGATGCCACCCCGGCGGCACGGTTCCTTGAAGGCTCAGTACAGTTTTTCATATTGTGCTTTTCAAAACATATTTTGTGACAAAAAGGGTAGCTGTGATATTTATGCACCTGCCTGTTCCGTGGAATGCTGGTGTGCACAATGAATGCTGAACACTTGTGTTACAAAATCATAGGATGGATTCATTTGCTCGGCTGTGCTAAATATAAGTCTACTTTCAAATTATATCTTGGTACTGAAATACTGTCATAGTTTTCTGATACATCCCTCTGAACTTGTTCAGAAATAACATATATTTATTATAGTGGGGGAAAAAAACTCTGGGGGAAAGCATCTTAAACTGCTATGTGCAGCAGGGATGATTAAATATTCAATAGACAGCATTTGTTAAAATTCAAATGAGGCCCTTGGAACGATCGGAAGTATAAAAAACTCCCAGAATTACCATGGCATTACATGGAAATCTTACCAGAGAAAAAACTTACCTCTTTTGAATGTATGTCTTTGAGGGAATAACTATAAAAACTGAATTTACAGTAAAATAAAAACTCCTTCACAGTTTTGCTTCCCTATCTGTTTCCCAGCCACATCAATACCAGTCTCTTTTTTTTTCTTTTTTTTTTTTTCCCCCTTCTAAGGTACACTGCAGTGCTCTAGGTTTTTCTCTTCTTTTAGCAGTTTTCAGTGTTAGAAGCTAATTTTTCTCAACGAGGTCAAAGTTTTAAATGAATTCTGGTTCATTTTGCAGTATTTTTTCTTCTTCTGTAGCTGCAGACTGTGAAGCAAGATAAAAAGCAGGTGCCGCCGGGTGAAAAGAACCTACTGCTGAGAAGCAGCGAAGTCCTCTCGGCGTGGTGACAAAGCAACTGAGAAACACGGGATCTGGTGGCCGTGACACAACCGACGGCGGAGCAAGGCACAACCCTGGCAATCACGGCACGGCATGGTTGGGGTTTGAGAAATGAAGGTGGGCAGGGGAGATCTCCCAGCCAGGGATCTGGAGACCGAAGGCAACCGAAACCAAGCTCACGTAAGAAATGAGGGGTGCTGCGACACCCCGGGCGCGTGGGTGAGCTTTCACAACTTCACTAGGATGACCACCAGCAGCAATAGCAATTTTTAATTTTTTTTCTTAACCAGCTACAGCAAATGCAGAGTTGTCAAAAAAAACCCTACCTGCTCTTGTAGCTAATGAACCACGTAACTAGAAATGCTTGTTCAGAAGGAGCTCTTCACCGTGGCTGCTCGTACAGAGCATTAAATGCTGTGCTGCGGTCTCTGGTGGGTTTTCATACCAGTGAGGGCTGTTATTGGTGCTGTTGAAATTACCTCCTTTTGGTTGTAATCATTATAATTCAGCTGTACTGGAAAAACTCGGAGGAATCTGTTCACCGTGTATAGATTTGTCTTGTTGGAAGGCAATAGTTAAAAAGTAATTTCCACAGGGACCTGGCTTCCTGCTGTCCTGCTTGACTTGGGTAAGTTTACAGCAAAATGACTTGATGGCTTCCAAATTTCTCACATGTATGTTAATCCTAGAATTATCTTCACTATTTAAGGTATATTGTTTGTGTCCTGCTGTATGATTTTAAAATATATTATAATTTCTACAGTGTTTTCTTAAAATGTCTAATAAAAATGATCTCTAATTGACCACCATTTGCATTTGCTCTAAGTTAAACTCTATGTGTGTGGTATGCTCGAGAAACGGGTTCTCTTTCTGGAAATGTTGGGATGCGGACGTGAACTGTAGAGTCAGTGGAAAATTTTGAAGTGTTTGGAGGTAGGACGACATGCACTGCATCTTGGCTCAACATCAGTTAAAAAAAAAAGTTCAATTAAATAGCCACAAAACTTAGTGCATTTGTTAAATCATATAAAATAAGGATTAAATAAATGAATTAAATGACCTTTAAATACAATGTACTGTTAGTGTAACACAATAGTAATTCTAAACTGTCCTTTACACAGAGTTTTGAAAGCTTGAGGTTAAAAAGAAGTTTTCATGTGTCCCAGCTTTGGAAGAAATGACTTGAACCATGGATGTGGGCACTCTAAAGCCACATCTTGCCATGGATTTTAAAGCAGAAGTTTGCTCCTAGAAAAAAGAATCAGACAGCAGTCTCTACTGTTGCTGCATGCAGCTCTTTTATTTCCATTTGTCTTTACAGAACTGTGAAGCATCTTCACAATAATTGTACAAAAACATCTCCGGTGGGCTGGCTGCAGTGCATCCCAGCAGAACATGTCACAAAATTGGGTCGTGGAGAGGAAAGACGGGAGTTTCAGCTGCTGTTGCTGATAAAAATCCATGCACGAGCTGACCTCGAGAGATGACAAATCTCGTGCTCAGGGGAAATAAAAAAGCCACGTTCTATATAGATGGAAGTAAAAAGGGATATCACAGGAAAGAAATATACTCTAACATTTGTTTTAATATTTGATTTAATGCATGGTCTACGCATATAGTCCGTATTTAGTGTGTGAAACCGTTAGTGGACACGTAACATGCGGTGGGGCCATTGGCTGGTAAAACTGAAAATACCGCAGCCGTCCTCGTTTCTGCCTCGCCCCGGGGCCTGTCCTGTCTCTGCCTTGGAGCACAGGTCTTTCTTTCAGAAAATTATAATTTTTCTAAATTTATTGTCAGCAGGTGGAAGCAAGAGCAATTGTCTTCCTCTCCCCCTGGGCAGTGCTGGTCCCAGGCGCCTCCGGGGAAAGTCCTGTGCTGTGCAGCCCTCCAGCCCCTTCGTAAGCAGAAACAACTCTTCTCGATGCATCAACGTTTCCAGGACCATTACAAAAATAAAATACTTTTGTTTTTACATTAGTATTGTAACTGAGTCTAAAGAATTAGAAAAATTAAACGTTTGTTCTTAGACTTGCATTGACCACAGGTAAGTATCTACAGTATTTATTTCAACATCCCATTAGGATGTCTGCTATAAATTTACACCATAGAAAGAATGTATGCAAAACGCGTATGGTTTATACACATAGCTTTCTTTTTAAATACATATATTTATACATTAAACAAACAGAAGCATTGTCAAAATGCAGTAATATTGAGGGTTGTTATTTTAATGGTATCACAAACCACATACAGCCGATACGTCTTTCGGTATGTGGGTTTCCTCTTAATTATCTCCTCCAATTAATAAGAATTAGAGTGTCCAGGGAGGAAGGAGAGGTACCTAAAGCTCAGCTCCTGCCCTGGCCCCCCTGTCCTGTGGCCCAGCGTGCGGGGGCCGGGGAGGCTTCAGCGGGGAACCCCGGGGCTGCGCTGGCCGAGTGCATGGCCCCAGCAGCCAGGCAAAAGAGAAAATATTAAAAACTTACATTCTGAGTAGTTAAAGATGTGCAGGTAATCACATCACCCATACTGCTTGGGGTTTTGTTGGTTTGGGTGTTTTTTTTTTTTTTTAAACCTGTAATTCGGCTTTGTTCCACTCTCCCTTGGAAATGGGGTTTGGGAAACCATCTGTCTGAAATCTAGGCAATTAAATATATTAACACTTGAAGAGGCAGTTCTGGAGTCAGCTGAGCATCTTGAGGCTTTAAATTAGTACAGACCCAACCTCTGCTTTTGTATTTCACCTGCACTCACTTTTTCGCCTCAACCACTTTTTATTTTAAATGATATTTTTGGCATGCTGTTACAAATGGAAATAAATAAAATATCTATTGGCCTTAACCAAATTGATTTTAAAAATGATAATTAAAAAAACAAACAAACAAAAAAAACAACAACAAAAAAACCCCCACAAAGTGACCCCAAAAAAAAGTATAAGAGACAGTTCTATTTGCTCCTGCATCAAAGCCTAGGAGAAGAATCGGGCTCCGAGCCCATGACGTACCCTCAGCTGACAGTGCCTGGGGCAGGTCACCCAGGGCCTTGTGGCCAACACATCAGGAAAAGAAATAATTAAAGCAAAAAAAAAAAAGACTGATTCCAAACCCATCCAGGCACAGAAGGTCTTTCTCAACACCTTCTTGAGGCAATGCCAGTCTCGGTCCTACCCCGGGCATCCTCGGTCCTCGCAGTTTCTCCCCCATCGGTGCCTTTCCCCGGGGTGGGCAGGACTCCCCGTGGCTGGGGCTGCCCCGGGCCAGCTCACCGACTGTTTAAAACTGCAATTTTAAACAGGGTTTGGTGTTTGGTTGTTGGTTTGGTTTGGGTTTGTAAACAACTTTTATTGGGGGGGGTAATGGGGAATGAACAGCAAATGTGAATGGCAATAAACCGTTCAGCTGGCAGCACGTCCGGGATGGCTGGTGGGATTTCATGGTGATGGTGTGTTTTACAGGCTTTTCATTTAAAAGAAAAAACCCCCGACATTGGTGTTTTGATAGATGAATGTAAAAGTATATAAAGGTAACAACTCGGTTATTCACTTGGCAGACAAATAAACCCTTTGTTGTAAAGTGTGCAAAAAAAATAGATGGAAAAAAGTTGTGTTTCTGCGTTTGAAAGGTCGTTACGGGCCCAGGGTGCGTGTCCCCCGCCAGCCTGCCCCCCCCCCCCCCATCATACACAAACCCCTCGTGTGTCCCCCCCCCCCCGAGGAGATGAACTCAGTCTGGGCGGGGGGGGGGGGGGATGCAAACCAAGGTGCCCCACAGCCCGGGCTAGCGCTGGGCACACGTGGCCAGCAGCATTGCCGCAGGGGTGGCACAGCTTTCGGTCACCCGGGCTGGGTGGGTTTTAGTTTGGGAGGTGCCAAGGGGTGCTGGAGGCAACACGGCCCCCCCGGGGGGGCTGCACACACACACACACACCCCCACACACACCCCCCAACATCCCCTCCCATCCCACAGCCCCCAGCTCATCCTTCCCCACCTCCCCACGGCGACAGCAAACCGACAGAGGCTGAGGAACATGAATCGGGTGAAAAAGCAGAAGTTTGGGTACCCCTGGGCGGGGGGGGGGGTACCTGGCGAAGGAGGAGGAGGAGGAGGAGGGTTTCTGTGCAGTTTTGCCTTTGTAGCGACAAGCCCCATCCAATGCAAACCACCTGCATCATCTGGGGGCAATATTAAGCGCAATCCTCCCGTTCACACAGGGTCATTTGTCGTCCCACCAGCACCAGCGAAGACTTTCTCACTAGTTGCGGTATTCGTATAAAAAGTTAAAAGCCACGGGGGTGTACGACCACCGGCTGTCCTGTCCCTCCCGGGGGGGTGGTGGTGGGGGGGGTGTCCAGGCACCCCTTCCACGGCACAGAGCCAGGCTGGGCATCGCCTTCCCCGGATGCAGCGGGCACCCCGGGCGGCAGCAGCCTTCCCCTCCGGCCGGCCATCCTCTTCTTCACCGCCTCTCCCCGGAGCCCGCTGGCCCCTGGCAGGGGCACGGGGCACTGGGGGGGGGTGGGGGGGGGTTGGGGTGTGGGGTTGGCAGCTCACAGCTGGGTCTCATCGCGCGTTTCGGGGTTGCAGGAACCCAGCTTGTTGCTGCAGCTGCTCTTGCGGCTGTGACCATCGTTGGCCACGTGGGCCAGCGGGTCGGAGCGGATCAGGTACCTGTGGGGCACAGCCCGGTTACACCAACGGGACACACACACCCCCCACACCTCCCCCCCTCCTCGCAGTTATCTAATGGCAGGAGGGAGCTATGCAACCCCTAAACTGGGGTCTCACCCATCCTCGAGGGGATGCCCCACGGTGCTGTGCTGGGAGCTGCTGCTCGCAGCAGTGTGGCAGCTGTTAAAATAATTAGGATTTCTCCCGGCGCTGCAGAGCGACAAAAGCCACGGGCAAACCTCCGCGCTGCCGGTCAGAGCTGGGGCGGGTTAGGCACTGCTCAGGAACATGGGGAGGGGGAATGGCCGGGGAAAGAGGCAAAACCCACTGGGATTGATGAGAAAACCTGGAAAGCAATGTGACAGGGGCAGGTTTGGGGGCACAGGGGAGCGTGCCTGCCCATGGGGGGAAGCCCAGGGGTGGGTGGGGGGAAGCACTTACACGATGTCGTTGAGTTCCAGCCTTGTGTCCGGGGGGGGATTGATCAGGACGTAGGACAAGGTGTTCTGGTGGTCGTTCATCTCATCTGCGAGAGGAGGGGAAAGGGCTGGTGAGGGACGACCCGACAGACACCCCAACACCCTGGTGGCCCCTGTTCCCGCAGCCCCACGGCTGTGTCCCCAAGCCCCTGGCTCTGGGGTGTGTGTGTGTGTGTGTTTGTCACAGCCTGTCCCCAGGGACAGCAAATGTGTCCCTTTACTGGGGGGGGGGGCGTGGGCAATGGTGCTGCCACCTCCCTCTGCGCCTCCCCAGCCGCTCCCCGCCACGGCACAGCCCTGGGGACAAGCAGATGTAATTCTTCAAAGTTCTCGCTCTCCCCGCCCTCCCCAGAAAAAAAACAAAAAACAACAAAAAAAACATAAGATGGCTTACCTTGGTTTAGTGTAAAAAAGGGAACAGGTTAGTCTTGCTGCATTAGGGATAGCACAATGACTCCAACCACCGGGTCAGGGCAGCCAAACCCCCCCCCTGGGGCCGCTCAAACGCTCTGCCCACTTCTCCCCTTCCTGATTTATTTAATTTAGCATCATCCAGCCACAGGATTTAAGTCAACGATTGCTTCTTTCTCCTGCCCAAGGGAAACCGCCTCCATGGAGTTTCAGAGCCACTGATGCTATTTTGGGGATGGCTCTAAACTACAGTGACCTCCCGGGGGGGCTCGGGGCCACCAAGAGCTGCCCCCGTGGGCGCTGCGTGGGGCGAAGGGGCGGCCTCAAGGCCGGGGAGGGGGCCCTGTGTTTTCCGAAATAGCTGAGAACAAGATCATGGGTGAAATGAATGGGGGGGGTGCAAGGCTGCGGGGTGGCTGGGGAGGGGGTGGAAGCTGCGACAAATAACACCATTTACAGACGGAGTGACCGGGGTGTGGCTGGACAGGATGGAGAGGGGACGGACAGACGGACGCCAGGGGCAGCATGATGAAGCGCGGCGGGACACCAGCTCGCTGCAAGGCTCGTCACTGGGACGCTCTCCGGGCTCTTGGAAAGGCTCCTCTGAGCAGCATCGGGGCACAGCAGAGCTTTGCCAAATGCGGACAAAAACGGAGCTGGGTCTGGCATGGAGCGGGGCCGGGGCCGGGCCGTGGGGACAGGCGTTAGTGCCAGGCTGGGGACTGCTCCCACCACCCCGTCCTGGAGCTCCCACCACCCCGTCCCTACCATCCCTCCTGCCCCGGATCCCCCGGTCACACGGCGGGACACGGGACGAGGCTCCCGCCGTAACAGCACCCGTGGGTGTGCGGTCAGCCCAGCACAAGGAGCACCGCTGCTCTTCAGCCTCAGGACCGGGGGTGAAACCTCTGAAATGGGGTTTTTTCTCCAGCCGTGAGATGAGCCACAGCGGCTCGAGCCATCGCAGCCGGGCACCCCGCACAGGGATGCACACCGGCTGCCTTCGCCACACAACTGGCCAGGCGCATCCCCGCGGCTGGACCGCGCGGGTACGGCACGCAGGGGCGCTTGCAGGGCGACACGAGCCCCTCGTTTTGCTGCTCGGACACCTCCCTGGCTCCTCTGAGGCCACGGAAGGTGCCGCAGCCACCAGGACTGCCCGCAGGGAGATGCTGTGAGGGGACACCCCCCCCCAGTCTGTGCTGGGGTGCCCAGCCCCAGGCGCCAGCCGGTCCCTCGAGCCGCCGGAGAGCTTTGCCCATCCCAGTGCTCAGCCTTACAGCGAGGCGGGGACAAGGCGGGGTGGCAATGCTGGGGCACGGGTGGCACACAGACCCCGGGACCCGACGAGAGACACGGGGTTTGCCATGACGGGGGGAGGCGGGGAAGGGCCCTGGCTCGCGGCAGGTTTCCCTGCTCCATGGAAGCACCGTTTCCTGACCCCCCATGCAGCCGAGCCAGGCACTGCTAAACCCACCAAGTATATTGCCATATCATCCCCTGCGGCACAGCGGCAGGGCTCAGCCCATCAGCAACCTCCACCAAGTTTTGTTGGGGTTTTTTTTTTTTTTTTTTTGGGGGGGGAGGTAAGGGGTGGGGAGCCAGCGCTGAGCTCCAGCTCCCACACCCACGCAGCCTCCCAGCAGTGATGCCGCCACGACGGCCGTTCACCCGTGGGGGTCTCCTGGTTTAGCAGGGGGCTGGGGGGAATGGATGGTGCTGGGTCCCTCTGCGGCAGGACACGGGCTCCTGCTCAGCCCCAGCTCTTCTGCGGGAGGGGGAGATCCCAGCCCTGCCCAGCACCCACCGCCCAGCTGGCAATATACTCTGCTGGCCTGGGGCTTCCATGAGCCCCAGCTGGGGCTGCTTCTCTGATGAAGGACACAGTTTATAGGAAAAATGCCAACTTTTCACCTTAAGCGTGGGCTAGTGAAGCCTAAATTCCAGCTAGGTCGGGCTATCGCTAACCTCCAGGCTGCCGCAGTAAAAAGGTTTTTTTTTTCCAGGGCAAATTACACCATGGCATAAAGGTGTAAATGATGCAATAACCCTGCAGCTCCCGCAAATGCCAACAGGGTGCCCTGGGGTTGTCTGCAGCACGGGTGGCACCTTCGGCTGCTGCCTCGCGCAGAGCCCAGCACACCCCCCCCCCAACCCCCAGTTAGAAAACAGGGTCTGCTAAGGCTAGAGAGGAGTCCGGGAACGCAAACCAGGGATTGCGAAGGGTTTTCCCAAGTGCTGCCTCACCCCTGAGCTGCCGCTGCCATCGGGGTCAAGAGGCGAAGGGGCCGGGCGCGGGAGCTCCAGCACCGCGGCTCCGCTGCGCTCGTCCCGTCCCCCCCCGCCCCGTGAATCCCCTCCTCGACTTGCCACTGGCTTTGCAGCCCAAAACCAACTCGCAGAGCGAAGGAGGGAGGGTTTTCTTTTAATGACAGCCGAGGGCTGCGGTTTCCCTGTCAGAATTCATCTAGAAAAGGGTCCTTGAGGTTATCATCTCCGTGACTCTGCTTGCGCTGCCTGTTGCAGGACGGTCTTTTGTTTTTCCAGTGCCACCCCACAAATTAGTGCTTGAAAGGCTCAGGTATCTAAGGTGAAAACCGGCAAGGGTGTGGTTTGGGCTTAGCTGGCATGATCTTGTTGTACGCTGCACGCCGTGAGTCACGCGGGACTCCCAGGGAAAGGGAATTACCTTGCAAATATCCCAGGTTTACCCGATTCATCACATCACTGGCTGTTAAATTTGCTACATCCTCTACAGAACATACAGGGAAAGGCACAGACATAAACAGAGAGAGAGAGAGAGGTCAGCAAGCCATGATTCGGCAAATATCAGAGACGAGCTCCTGCACTGCAGCAATAAAATGAGCAAAAGAAAAAGGAAAGGGGGAGAAGGCAGAGCAACGTGTTCTTCCAAAACGCCATGGGTGTCCAGACACTGATGGTGACACACGGTGACAATGCACGGTTCCCAGCACAGCCGCAGACGCGCCCCAGGGGCTGGGGAGCTGCTGGTCCCCCCCACCGTGCCAGGCATCGCCCTCCCACCCCACCAGGAGACGGGTCCTGCACACCCCCCCCCCCCCGCTGCCTCTTCGCTTGCCGGAGCTCCCCCGGTTTGCTCCAGCTCAAATTTGCCAGATCAGCCAGGAGAAGGCTGCAAACTCTTCCACTAACCCAGCCGACGGTGCCCCGAGCACCCCGGCGGGGCTGGCTTTGGGGTGACCCCCGGGATCCTCAACAGGGGCCGTGCGGGCAGGGGGGCTGCCTCTGCCCGAACCCCTGTCTGCATTTTTCAGGGGAAGCCACGCCGCTCGGGGACCGCGGGCTGCGCTGCGGGCGCACCCTGCTTCCCAGCTTCCCGCACCCAGCAGCTGTTTTTGTGTAAAACCAGCTTTTTTTAAGGTGGTGAATTCCATCAGCCGCGTGCTGGACTCTGCAGCGGAGCTGCAGGGAGCTGGAAGTCCCCCAGAAGCTTTTAGGATTAAGAATGTTGGATGAAAAAGAGGGGGGGTGGGCCTGGCGTGCTCTGTGTCCTGCTGTCCTGCCGCAAGCCAGCTCTCCTGCCTCCCTCCCCGGGGAGGCTGGCCGATGCCCACAGCCAGCCTGTTTGCCCTTCTCCCCAAACCCCGCTCCTGCACCGCATTTCTTTACGTTTTATCCTCTTTTTTCACATGCCTAAAGGGCTTCGAGGGCAAAGCCAAGATGGGAGAGGAGGAATCAACACCCCCCCCCCCCCCACAGCCTCCTGAAATCAGCTCCCGTCCCGGCCGGGGCATGGTGCCAGCCTGCGTGCGGGCAGGGGCCAGCGTGGGGTGGACAGATGCTCTTTGAGGATGGAGCAAACAGGCAGCAGCACAGGATGGCTTAAAAGAAAGAAAAGGGAAAAAAAAAAACAAAACAACAAAAAAAACCACACACACAAAAAAAACCAGACCAAACCAAACCAACCAAACAAAAAAAACCCAACAAAACCAACAAACCAAGGAAGCTGGGGGCTACAGACTTTGTTGTAACCAAAGGGTGGGGAATCAACTTGGGGCGACGGGGTGCGGGGGGGGGAGACACCGACACCAGCACCAACGGGTGGGTGAGAAGCTTCACGAGAAACGTGGCTGCACGGAGGGACCCTGGGCGCTGCGGCCGCGCCGGCTCCTCGCAGCTGGAGACGCTGGTTCCACAAGCCACGAAGCAAACCACTCAGCCCTGCAGCTACCGAAATGCTTTCCGGGGAAGAGTTTCATGAAGGGTTAAAGGTTGTAACAAAAAGGGGTCTGACGGGGCTTCACCTCTCCCTGCCGCGCTACGGGGGCTCTCGGGCAGAAGGGTTTTGCTGATTTGGACTCGGTGTGTCCTGAATCACCATTTCTGCACGGCCAGAAAGCAAGGGGGGGGGCAAGCGGGGCATCCAGCTGCAGGCAGAAGGGCGAGAGTTCCTTACTCTGCCGCTGCAAACTCCTGCCTGGACCCGTCCCACAGCCCCAAAATGGGGGTGGGTGCCTGCGGGCAGCTGGGGGGGGGGGGGGGTGGTGGCAGGCGAGGGGGCTCTGCGCTGCGGGACCCCAGCTTTGAACGCGCTCATCTGCAGAAGCCCAAGCAAGCCGGGGAGGGAGGCACTGCTCGGAGCCGGGCCCAGCGGTGCCTGTGGGGTTAGGCTCGGCGCGGGGTTAAGGCTTGACACGGGGTTAGGCTCGGTTTGGGGTTAGGCTCAGCACAGGGTTACCTGAGGAGCCCGCGAGCGGGATGCACCACCGCAGAGAAGCTCAACCGAACGGCACTTACCGTACCCGGTCGTGGGCAAGCCCAGGTGCTTCATACGGTTTTTGACGAGCTCGGAAAGCTCCTGCCTCTCGGAGCGCCGGTACAAGCTGAGGCGCTGCTGGCTGATCCACTCGGCCGTCTTGCTGGAGTGCTTGTTGCCCTTCCTGCTCAGCCGGCGCGCCCACTGCATGCTCTTGCGCCGCAGCAGCGGGTGCTCGGACTGGTCGCTGGAGCACGAGTTCCTGTGGTGGCTGGTCTTGATGCTCCAGTGCTCCTTGACGTCCTTCGTGTCCTCGCAGTCCTCGACGTTGATGGAGATCTGTGACTGGAAGCCCAGCAGGTCACGGGGAGCGGGGAGCCAAAAAGAGCCCGTCCTGTCTCTGACGGGGTGGGATCTCTCCCGTGGGGTGGGATCCTTCCTCTGAGCCACACGCACTCTCCCAGCACATCATTTCCATCCTGCTAAAACTCCCTGGCTGGCAGGTTTGGGATAAGCACTGAGTGGAGGCTAACGGGGCGCCTGACAACTCCCACAGGATTGCATACGGGCTGCCCGAGGGACAGCCGTGCCCTCGTCTCCCTCTCTTCCATCTTACAGCAGACATGCTGCCACACCTCCGACACAGCAATCCCCGCTGGTGAGCAGGAATTTACTAATAAAGCAGTTTAAAGTATCTCTAAGAGGTGGATTGCCTTGAATGAAATTGTCAACTTTTGGCTCCCTGTAGCTGCTTCCCACAAAGCCGGAGGCTGAAGGTATTTAAAATGGAGCTTGGCTCACTCCCCTGCTCCTTATCCCAGTGAATTACACTTCAGGGCACTGGGGATTTTTGTCTTCCCGGACTGCCACTGCTCAGCCGGCAGCGTGGGGACGGGCAATGCCGTGCCGGCAGCGGGGGGTGAAAGCCGGGACAAGGCTCGTGGTGGCTCTCGGTGGCCAGAGGAGCTGCTGGCACAAGCCAGCCCAGCGCTTGCCCGTGGGTCAGCCTCTGGGTCGGGGGGACGGGGAGGCAGCGCTGCTGGGCAGAGGGTAACGCCGGCCCCGGCCCAGGCGCCCGGCAGCGGGATGCGAGCGGCACTCACCTGCGCTCTGATGTCGTGGGGCTGCAGCGGGGGGAAAAGGAAAGAAAAATAAAGCGTCAGCCCAGCAAACGGGCAGCCCTGCTGTGCCACTCCCCCCCCCCCCTGCTCCCTGGGGACTTGGTGCCACGTGGCACTGCGGAGCTGTGCCCAGAAAATCCCCCCCGCAGCCTGGATGCTCCCCAGGGAGATGGGCAGTGAGACAGACCTGGCTTATACCAGACAGCATCACCAGGTCTCGGATGCGGGGCTGCTAACGGAGCGAAGGCAGAGCTTCCCCTCCCCTTGCTCCTCCCCACTGCGGCTACAACCAGGGCGGAGGGGCCTCGTGGACCCGGCCAGCCTCATGGACCGCATCACTGCCGGGCGGCGATGCTCAGCTGGGACCACCAGCAGCCCCCCTGCCTGGCACCCGCCCCCACCGTGCCCCTACCTCGGAGGTTGCGAACATGTGCGACTCCGTCCTGTAAATCCCGATGGGAATCTCCGCGCTGGAGGAGCAGAGCTTCTGGAAGAGGCGGCCGTACGTCCGGATCCACAGGTCATCTTCAGTGATCTTCATCTGAGCAAGAGAGGACAAACATCAACCGCCCTGCGTCGCGCAGAGCTCACTGAGGAGCACCCCAGGGCCGCTCCTGAGCTTCACCCCGGCTCGCTCGTGTCGATCCCAAAAGCGAGCTGGGCTCCACAAAAAGATCAGGAGCAATTTCCGACCTCAGCCTTCAGAACGGGCACTTTGGTCCTTGGCAGCTCTTGGGCTTTTGGGTTCTTGGCAGTGCTGAGGTTTCCCCCCACGCCCGATGGAGGGGAGCGGTCACCTGGCAGTGTTGCCTCCCCCCCCCCCCCCCCCCAACTCCACGGCAAGAGGGGAACCCTCCCACCCCCGTGCGCAGGGTGACGGATCCCACCAGATCCACCATGACTTGGCCCGATGGTTTCAACCCAGAGGAACTTGGCACCTACCGCGCAGAGGTAGCCAGAGCCCGGCGTGGTGTCAAGGCCCAGCAGCAACCGGGTGATGGTGATCATGTAGTCCTTCACGAATGACTTGGGGGGGGGGGGGGGGGGAGACATTTGGGCAGGAAGCCAGAAAAAAGGTTTGCTCAGTTATTCATTAGGAGATGCAAAGGGGGTGGCCACAGCTGCAGGGGTGTGTTAGCCAGAGCCCGGCGGGCGCTCACCTGGTAGAGCAGCGTGTCCAACATGCTGATGCTGAAGACCCTCCCGGCCGCGAAGGGCAGCCGGAACATGAAGGCCAGGTTGGAACCGTTCTCTCGCTCTTTCTGGAAGAGGAAGGGGAGATGTGAGCACCTGCAGGCAAACGCCGTTGGCAGGGGCTTGTTCGCATCCTTCCGGGGCATTTGGCGAAGAGACACCACGCCGCCTCCCCCGCACACAGGTTGCACAGAAGCGAGAAGACTCATGAAAATGGGAGGACACCAGCGTGGGATTTCTGGCGGGTGCGCCGGGAGGGAATCAGGGCAGCATCCTTACACTGGGTGAAAGAGGGTTTATTTTCCATGGAAAGGTGAGAGGCATGGTTGGAGTTTTTTTGACACGGGCTGGATGCAGCCCTTTCACATCCCTCAGTGGCTGGTTCGGGGGCATTTCCTCCCTTGTCAAAAGATCTGTCTCAGCACAGCGATTCCACTACCCCCCCTTACTGCAGTCACAGCATTAAACCTGATTCAGAGGTCCAGTGTGCCCAGCACAGCAGTGGGCAAAGCACCACAAACTCCAGCCACCAAATAAATACATAAATACATAGAAGGAGGTAGCTAGTTCAAAGATCAACTGCCCACTTATTTGTCTGCAGCAGGTTATCTCGGGTAGATGCATGCTGACTGCGGTAGCTGCAGCACGCAGAAGAGCACCGGACCTTGAGGAGCTCAAATGTGGTCACTCTCAGCGTTGGCTTGCCAGGCCCTGCATGCACGGGAAGACCTTCTCTTACCTTTTCTAGCTTGGAAAGGGCAAGAGAGTAGCTGTCCTTTGCTCTGAACTGCATGAACCTCATGTTGGAGGGGTGGGTCAGCTCTGTGATAATGCTGAGGCTGGGGAAGAGCCTGCAATGGAAAGAGACCTGTTGTCCTGCAGCTCACTTGGAAGTCAGAGCACTTCCTGCATTTAGAGCCTGAGGAAGACCAAAACCATCCCCGTGCCTGTTCCGAGGTCAGAAATAGCTGATTAGACACTGTTTCCTAGAGCAAGCCCAACCGTAGATGTGTCCCACTGCCCATAGCCACCGGCACCCTTCCCGGTCTTGTCTCCAGCAGAGGTAAGTGGCCGTGATGGAGCCGGGGCAGTGGTCGCCCCTCACCTGAACATGGTCTGGACGTTGACAATCGTCTTTGCATCGGCCATGTAGTCCTCCTCGGCACTCATCGTGCTCTCCTTGTCCACAACCACCAGGTTGTCGGCGTAGATGATGCCGCACTGCAGCAAGCTGTCCAGGCTGGGCAGTTCCCAAAGAGAAGAGCGCAGGGTCAGCCCTTGGAAAGGACACAGGGAAGCAGCACGCTGCGACGTGCAGCGCTACAGCAAGCCCGGGCTGCTCCCAACCACCAGCTCTTCACCTGCTCCCATCTACCGCGGGGGGCTTGGACAACCCAAGAAGCCAAGGGATGGGCTCAGCTCAACCCTGGGGCTTCTCGTGGGATGACCTGAAAGTCTGGGCTGGGGGTAAATGCCACACATTGAGGCAGCACCATAAGTAACAACACGCGAAAACACCTACTTGTCAATCGTGCCCTCCATGTAGTAAACCATGGGGAAACAACAGATGGCTTCCAGAAAGTGGTGCTCGGGCCTGGAGGAAGAGCAACAGAGAGCAGGATTTAAGCGTGTGTATATATATATTTATATATAACCCCTCCATTTAAACCCTGTAAAAAAAGCTACACTTCCATTATAGCTAGGCAAGGCAGTGAGATCTACTAAGTGTAAATGGATGGAAAAAGCTAATTATTACTCCTCACCCCAATCGGAAAATACAGTTAACAATTAACACTGCCACTGGAAAACGCCAGCGGTCAGTGAATTCTCGGGGCGTCTTCTGCGGCAAGGGGAAACCACGCGGCACTGCCAGCACTAAGCCCGAGCTGATGGAACCCGTTTCTCAGAGTTCGTTAGCTCAGGCTCCGTGCGTGCCAACCGGCGTGCCATCAGAGTGGGTCACAACCCGAGCGTCCTCGCATCGACCTGAAAAACCACCAGGTAAAGAGGCCCAGGAGCAGTTCCAGCATGCGTGGGGGGGGTTCGGAGCGCTGAACGCACAGCCTCCCCTTCGTCTGCCTCTGGAAGGAACTGACCATCGGCATTACGTGGGCTCAGCCGCCGCCTCCTACCGTATTAAACACTGCACGAATTTTAGTGAATCTTCTTTCCCTAACATGAACATATTTACTCATGCCAGGTTAAAATAAAACAGAGAGCAAGGTGGTGCGGCGAGCCCACGGGGCAAAGGTAGACTCAACACCCACACAGGAGTCCCCAGGGCCGACATCAGCCGAGGTACCCGACAGTGGCACTGCCGTTCCCCCGCGCTCCCATCGCCCATGGAAACACAAGGGAGGGCTCGGTGCGATGGAAAACCTCCGCGGAGAAATACTTGCTTGTTGTCCAGCAGCAACACAATGGGGTTCAACTCTTTGCGGGACCGATAGTAGGCACGAAGGGGGACAATGAAGTTATACAGCCCGTTCCCAGCCGTCTCTGCCGAAACGATAATCAGTTTGTTCTTAAACCCGTAGGCTTTGGCGTCTTCGAAGCTGTTGTGCTTGCAGCCCTGTGCGGTGAAAGGCGGCGCAGGGACTCAGCGGGGGGCTCGCAGCCGCCTGCCCCCCCCCCCCCCCCGAGCCATCCCGCTCCTGGGGGGCTGCAGCCCCACCGTACCTTGTCCAGCCTCAGGCAGCAGAACGGGGCTTTCTCGGGTAAAAGGTGGCACAGAGTCGGGGAGCTCCCAATGTAAGGGGAGTTCGGTGGGTAGCCTTTCACGTACCTGCAGCGGAGAGAAAATCCAGCAGCGTGAGGACACGGGGAGAGCTCCCCCCATATACAACGCTCAGACGCTGAGAAAAACACTTAATAGCAGCAGCCCAGGATTCAAGCACCCCACTGACAAAATGCTTTGCAAAACTCCCCTGCAGCAGCTGGAAATTTTCCAAAATATACATATTTAGGAATCATTTTTGCTATGCAAAGGGTCATGATATTGCAAATATGCAGTGCGCCCAGCACGGGTGGAGAAGGCAGAGAGGATCATTGAACAACAGATGAAAGGAGACAGGGCAGAGAGCTTCAGGAGAGGAGGGCAATGCTGAGCCATGTAAAAAAGCAAAAAAAACCCATGGTCCATTTTCAGAGTTTGTTTTGGTCAAGAGATATTTAAAAAAAATCGCTGTTTGTAATTTTGATGGAACCAGAAGCAGAAATTTTCATTTAAAGAGCCATTTCATTTAAAGAAGTGGACATGAATGAAAAGCCAATTTGTGAGAGTTTGCAGATACTCAGTCAAGTCCCCACATCGCTGTGACAGCATCCAAACAGGTAACCAGTAAAGCAAGTGCTTATCTGGCCACCATAAACTGACCAACAGCTTTAAAGCTGGAGTAAATATTTATTTGTATTTTTTACTTATGTGCAATAGAGAAGAGGATCCTCTTCACGTCGAAAGGAGGCGAGGGGGCTGATGGAACAACCTGCCCACCCTCAGCAGTGTCCGCCTTGGTGCAAATTCGCTGATACCCAGGAGGAGACCTCCCCAAAGCAGCCCAAAAGGGGGTGACTGCCCGTGTTCCAGACGTCCGCGTGCTCGTGCAAAAGCCGCGAGGGGCTGAGCCCGAGCATCCCCCCAGGCACCACAGGACGCCCGTCGTTTACAGCGCTCCCCGCCTCTTGGGGACGGGGGACGACGGCTCGACCCCCAGCGGGTGACTCACTCCGCAACCGCCGACCCCTCCTCGTCCGACTGTGTCATCTCGTCCTCCGACTGGTCGCTGAGCAGGTCGCAGGGCAGCAGGGACGAGCTGTCGGCCAGCTCGAGGACGGGCGCGATGCTGGGCCGGCGGTTGCCCGAGCCGTTCTCCGCCGGCAGCGCCAGCTTGCTGCTGTTAGCGGGGCGGCACTCCGTGTTCTGCAGGTCCATGGCTACTGTACCTGGACACGGCGGGGAAGGGAGCACGGCAAACATGCTATAAGGAGGTGAAGAGAGCAAGCGCCGTGCCCTCGAGCCCTGCACGGGGACGGGGTGGAGCACGCGGGGCCGTGCGTCGAGCCTGCTCAGTACAACCCAGATGAAGCTAAACCGTTCGCGGGCAAAGCACCCACCAGTGACCCTCACCTGGGTATCGCTGTGCGGAGCATCTCCCCCGGGGGGCACAGCTCAGCTGCTCCCACAGTGGGTGCAGGCTGCTGGCCCCTGGGACCGTCACCCTCCCCATCCCCCAGCTGTGGCCACCTCCATCGCGCCAGCTGAACCGCTTGCCCACCTGCTGCTCATTGCACCAGCAAAACCTGGCTTCACCATGGTTTTTATTATTCTGATGCAGCTCAGAGATGACAACCCTCCAGCCTAAGCTCTACCTGTAGATCTCTGCAGGCTATGGGAGGCATCAGCCAGGTTAGGAACAAGCTGGAGTCACCATATCTGGCCCTTCGCCGGGACGCTGCCCTCCCCACGGACACCCCTTTGCCCCAGGGGTCCTCAAGCCCCCAGGGAGAGGCAGGGGGGCAGCCCCCCAACACCCTCATCCATCCCCTGCATCCCCCCCGATCAGCTCCAGACCTTCAGGTGGGACGAGAGAGGCCTCCCCATCCTGTCCTCCAGCAGCTTCCAAAAATCAAATCTATTTACAGCGTATTGACCAGGGCCACCAAGTCACCACCAGAAACCCCCAGCGAGGCTCCCATCTGAGTCTTGGCCTTTTTAGACAGTCAAGAACACGGGGAGTCTCCCCATAAGCAAAGCCCAGGTGCTGGGCTCATCAGGCACTCACACAATTTCTTTCCCTCTCATTAGTCTTTGCCAAAGGTCGCTCTGCGAACGAGCCAACGTAATGACAAATGCTATTCAGTAAAGTGCTTTGCAGCTTGCTGGGGGATAATCTATGCAAATTGCTGCTCATGAGTACAAACGCATAAATTATTTGCCTGAAATATAACCTGCTCGTGTAGCGCAGCCGCCCCAAAACTTGCTCTCCCCAGAAACAAGCTGGAAGTAATGACTCATGGTATTTTTTCATTTGCGAAAATGCACCACTCGCTGCAGAGCAAACTATGCTCTTCATCGGGCTGTGACTCATAAACATGATTTAGGACGTGGCCAATGGCATTATTCTTCTAGCCACGGCTCAGGGAACTTATGCAAATACCATTAATGATAATGGACATCACAAGCTTTGATAATTATATTCGAGCTTGTTGAGAGCACTCAGGGTGCAAGGAGCAGGGTGTATTTTACTGGTGAGGTAACCAGGACAGGGGATGGACAGGGATTTTCAGTGGCTTCGGCAAACCTCAGGTGGGGGTCATGGCAAGGAGTTTCCAAAAAGCAAAATAAAACCAAAACTGGGAAAGGAAACAAACCTAGGGCAGGAGATGGAGTGGGGAGCTCGGGGAAGCCCCACCAACTCACCCATGCTGGCGATGATGCTGTGCACCGGCAGGCGGGATGGGCCGTCGTAGGTGCCTCTCCCCGCAAAGCCCTTCTTCTTCTGCTTCTCCTCCTGCTTGAAAATGAAGGCAGAGTTCTCCTCCTTGGTGATGTTGATGTAGAAGCAGGTGTCGGACGCTGCCATGATATGCCGCGGGCCGGGGTTCAGCAGGATGCTCTTGTTCTCCTCCCTCCGGATGCCGATCAGGCAGACGCCGTACCTGCGCCGGGAGCACGACGTGGCCACTTAGAGCTGGAGAAGAGCCCCTGTCGGGGTTTGGCCCTGCACACAGGACCTCACAGTGCCCTCCAGCCCCACTCCCCGACCCCCCAAGGGACACAGACTGGCAGACAGACCCTTGCCCACCCCTGCCCTCACTTTTTGTGCGCGTGGAAGGCGGCGTAGGTGAAGCTCTTCCCCTCGTACTCCATGAAGAACTTGCTGTCGCCCATCCGGATGTGATAGACCTCGTTGCCCGAGCAGCGCCCGTACATCCGCTGCCACTGCTCCGGGGACTCCTGGCCCTCCCTGCAACGGCAGCAGCAGCGCGCTGGGATGGAACCCACCCCCCCTCCTCCGCCCCAGTACCAGGATGGGACCCCCCCAGTGCTGGCCCAGACCCCAGCACACCAGCCGGGCAGAGCCGCACGGCGGGGGGTGGCTAATAAACGCCGCCAAATAGACCAACAGCGGTGAGATTACGGCGAGACATCTCCCCGAGCTGGCGGCGTTTGCAGGCTGAGGATGAGCTCGTTGCCATTTCTGATTTTAAGTGCCTTTTTCATTTAACGAGCGCTGCCGGGGGTTGCAGAGGCAGGGTTCAGAGCCTGTATTAGCAAGCAGCGCTGAGCATGGGGTGAGAGTCATCTGGCAATGATGCTTCGTAACTCTTTTGACGGCACTTTACCCAAAATTCAGACATTTCTGACTGGCCAAGGAGCACAGACCTGCACCATCACTTTACTGGGCTGGCAGAGCTCCTTCCAACTGTGCCTGCGGGGTCTGGGTTTGAACGGGCTGTGAAATAACCTTCCGGCCAGCGGGACCACGCCAGAATAAAGAAGATATTTTTACTCCCAGATATTTGGAAAGGTGGCATTGGCCAGCCCATCTGCACTGGTACGTTCCCCCTATGATACTGGCTCTTGCTCCCAAGCTGCCTGGGGATCCCAGGCCTCACTGTGCTCCCCCCAGACCCTGATCCTTTGTGCCCAGAGCTCCCCGGTTGTGCTATCCCTCCACGTTCAGGCTGGGGCAGTGGAGGTTGGGCAGGGACAGGGACAGGCAGGGACAGGGACAGGCAGGGACAGGCAGCACTCACTGGCCGCGGGAGGTGTGCACCAGCAGCGTGATGAGGGTGGAGGTGGCAGGGCAGACACAGTTCAGCGCCAGCATGGCGTATTTGCACTCCTCCTCGCAGACAACGTGATCTGAAAGGCAGAGGGGATCGTCATGGAGGGGAGGGGAAGGGATGGGTTCCTCAGCCAGCAGTGCCCGGGGATGCAGTAATTTTGGGGTGGTGTTGGGGGCTGGGTGCTTCCTCCTCCTGCCCGTCTGGGAGGGCTTTCAACAGCCCCCAGGGAACCACCGGGAATGGCATCGATGTAGGCAGGAAAATAGGGATGCAGGCGGGCAACCAGCCAGCTGGACACCAGCCCAACCGAGGCCGCTGCCGCCACGTCCACGGGGACGCACACACAGGCACACGTGGGACCTGTGTGTAACTGGGAGGAGTCTCAGCACCAGGTCACGGGCTGCCCCGAGATGGAAAAGCCTCCGGAAACATCCGTGGTGGCAGGTAAGACAGTCCAGAGCGGCGAAGCGAGCAGCGCTGCCCGCTGCCGTGCAGCCCCTCCGACTCACCGGCAAACTTGACGTGAAACTTGTTTTCAGGCTTTAGGATCTGCACATAGAGAGGGCAGTTTGGAGCAAAATCTTTCACAGCCCAGGCTCTCAGAATGGTCTGGTGGTCCTAACCGAGGAGAAAAGCAAGAGTTACTTGTCTGATGGATTATGCTCCTGAATGCTTCTACACCCAGGATGAACTGCAAAGCACCCCCCCACCGCAGAGACGTGCAGCAAGGGCTCTGCCAACACCCCTAACGGGGGATAACCTCCCTCCCCTGCTCCCCAAAACCCGGCACCGATGGGAAACGGGGGCAGCAGAGGGAAGGTGAGCCTGCAGGGGCTGTCCCCCATGCCACCTCTGTGTTTCCCCGCAGTCCCTGCCTGCCCACGGGGACCCTTGGGCAGCTTTGTTAGAAAAGATCCCTCCAGTGAGGCCACAGGGGCTCAGGACGGCGCAGGCAGAGAGGAGCCACCGCCACGGCACAGGCAGCATCCCTGGCACCAGCCAGCAGCAAGAGCTGTCACCTCCTCCCTCGCCCAGGGCTGCAAAACTAAGATCTTCCCGGCAAAGTCCCTGTCCCAGCTGGGGCAAAATTGTGTTACGTGCGGAGGTTTTTGGGGTGAGCTGCCCCAGGGCGCAGCCTGTGGGGGTAACCCAGGGGACTGAGCTCAGCGCTCGAACCCCACGCTTTTGTGCCGGTTGCCTCCCGGCACGCTCCTGCAAGACGCAGCGGTCAGCCCGGTCCCTTCTGGCCTGAGAAATGAATAACCTCCGACCACGCCACCCCCCGGGCCCGGCTTACCGCCGCGGTGCGGTCCACCTCGTTTCGGCTGCTGAGAATGAAGCAGGCTTCCCCGTTGTCCATCCTGCAAACAGAGAGCAGCGCACCCCGTGAATCGCGTGGGCCAGCAAAGCTGGGGCAGCTCCCCGTACCAGCCGGGCACCTCCAGCCCCCTCCTAGACCCAGAGCAGGGACGCCCGTCGGCGCGCATCTGGGCTGCCGTCGCCGGGGACCCTCCCCTGCGGCTCCGAGGCCTGCGGGCAGCTCGGCAGCGCCGGCCTCGCCGCGGACGCCCAGCATGTCCCTCTGCTCACTTGGCTCTCATGAGGTCCTGGTCCTTCAGCGCGGAGCCCTGCAGGTAGATCACTCGCTGCGACCACAGAGGGATCTGCAGGACCCGCCGCACCTGGATATCCATCTCTGTCGGGCAAAGTATCACCACGTAGTAATCCTGCAAGAGAGAGGCTCGCGTGGGTCGGCAGGCTGGCGGTGCCGAGACACGGGGCTTTTTCTGCTGCCTGGGCAAACGGCTCCTCTGGGGCTTCTGGTATTTGCCCCTGGGGTGTGACGAGCCCTGACCCTGCGCCAGGGTCCTTGGGAAACAGAGCAGCATCTTCTCCACCCCGTTCGGCACGATAAAGCCATTGCAGGGACAGCTAACTGTGGAACCAGGAGAGAGCTGCACGCCCACAGGGAAGCGGAGCCTCTGGCAGTTACTGCAACGTGCAGGATTTTAAAGCTTGAATGTATGGAGCCAAGGCTGGGCGATGGTAACGAAGCATATGTGAGTGTTGGAATGAAATGCAAATCTGAAACACGTCTGCGAGGCTCTCAGCCCGGGGAGCAGGAAAGGCGCAGTCATTTGCAAGGAAATCACTTATTATGTGGGGATACTCCAGTAAGAGCTGGGTAAATCCCACCAAGGTTTAGCGACTACATGTTCTGTTTCTGTCTGAGATTCTTCATTCAGCAAAGACGTTCTTACGTTTAGAAAAGTCCCTCTGGTCCCTCTCCATGTGCTTACACAGTGCTCTAACAGGCCTGGCCGGAAAACTGGGGGGATCAGGCAGAAAGAGCCCCACGGCTGAGGTGGCAAAGTGAGGTGGCCCTTGTCACCTCTCCTTGGCCAGTGCAGCACACGTTTCCCAGTGCTGGGCTGGATGGGTTTTACCTTATTCTTTGCCCCATCCGCTGCAGCCAGGCAGGGCACCCACCACCAGCAGTGACCCAGACATGGCCAGTAAGGCTGAGAGAGAGCCCAGCTAGGGCAAGCCCATGAGAATACGCCTGGTGCTCACCTGCAGCCGTGGGTGGGCGTAAAACTCATTGAGGAAATCCATGAGAAGATCAATCTTGAGGGAGCTGACACAAAGGACGACGTGTTTCTCCGTCTGGGCACGGTGACGGCTGTAATTGCCTCCCGACTTCTGCCGCTCCATCCACAGGTAGACGAGCTCCTCGAACTGCAAACGAAGGCAGAGAGCTGATGTCCCCATCGGCAGGGCTGCCCGGGTGCAGGCTCTGCATCCCTCTCCGTCCTCAGCTGCACGGGTCTAACCTGGAGCGGCAGCACGACCAAGGCAACGCAAATCATTATCACGACGAGGAGCTGGGAAGGCCAGATCTTTGGTGTCACGTCTCCGTAGCCCACGGTGGAAAAGGTGACGATGCAGAAATAGAAGGACTTGAAGAGGGAGAGCTTCTCACCTGCTCTTTCTAAATGCTGGATGCCACAGGTCCTGAAGGGAGAAAGCACATACCACAGCGAGTGCTTCCCCGCCCGGGAGATGGGCAGTGCCCATAGCTGAAGTCAGTGGGGAACCCTGGAGGTGACTTACACCCACGTCCATGGAGGAAATTTGTCTGTAACGCACTGTCAGCACCAGCAAGTGGATTTATGCCGCCAACAGAAATGATTCAGCCAACGGCGCTTACAGGTGAAGGAGTTAGTTGGATGCGGTTGCTCACTAAAGCAGCACGGGGAAGTCTAGGTCCCGGGTGATGGGTCATGATAAGATCAGGCCATGGAGAGCTTGTCGAGCATCACCCCGGGGCTGCCCTTGCATTGCAAACCAACAAAATGTGGAAGCAAGCAGCTGTCCCAGCAAGGCTCTGGAGGGACTCGGCCCGTGGGAAGGGATCTTGGTAACGGGGCGATGCGATTAAGAGGATCGTCTTAACTGCCAAAGACTCATGAGCCTAAATCCTTCAATTCTTGTCCGTTCAGCAACTTAACGGTATTATATGCTTCAGATCCAAGGGAGCCAGAGGGAGATTCAAGAAGCCCAATTCAAAGCTAAGTACCCAGCGATGAGAACTGACTCCTCTATAAAGAGACGCCCTTGTTGTTGGCAATGTGTGGGGTAAAGGGTTAATTAGCAGGAGCCCCGGCTATCACACAAAGAGCTCAGCAGCCCTGGCAACTTGGTGGGGAGGAAGAGCGCGGCCGGAGCCGGCGAGTGCAACGTGTCCTGGGGAATGAGCCGTCGCACGCGTCCCCGCAGGAAGCTGCTGACCCTGCCCTTGACCCCACAGCACTCACAGCCCTGCCCTCAGACTCGTGTGTCCACACCGCCTGTCTCCCTCCAACAGCGCGCTCACCCTCACCCGTGCCCGTTAAAACCATATAATTAGGGAGGATAATTAGCTTCTAAAACAGGAATTGATCTTCCCAGTGTTCCGAGCGCTGGGGAATGGAGCAAGGCAGGGAGGAGCCCGGCGCCGGGGGCTGGTGGTGCTGGGGGTCCTCCCAAAGCTCCAGCAGATGTGGCTGTGCCCAAGCCCACAGCAGTGAAAACCTGGGGCACACTCCTCACCATGGCTCCCCGAGCTCCAAACGCTGTCCTGAGGAACTGGGACTTGTCCCACTAGCAAAGGAAGGGTGGTAGAGACTTGGGAGTTCAATCCAGTCAGCAGCCCTGAATAATTATGCTTTCCTCCGTGTGCACAAACCTCTCAGGCTGAAAAATCAGGCTAGAAGACACTGCCTAAAGGCAGAACCTCCTCTGGCTTCCCAAATCACCTCGTTATGTTCCTGGCAATGCCATCCCACTACAGCTGGGAAGGTTCCACACCACCTGCCTCTCCTGTCAGCCCTGTGAGAGCCCGGCTTCACCAGTCACCCCTGGGACGTGCAGTTAGTTTCCCTGGATGAAGAGGGTGGTTTAGTGAAATGAAAAGCAACACTCACCCCGTGAAAACAAGACACAGGAGGGTGCAGATCAGAATGAGCACCTGGTTAAACATCGCAGACTGGGTCCTTTGTATGGCACGGTGCAGGTCGTTCTGGGAAGAGAGAAAAGGGCTCTCACCAGCTCAGAGGCTGAGGGCAACGTTCTCCTCCAAGCGCCAACTGTGTCTTGCTGGCTCCAGCAATGCCCCCCCCCCCCCAGATGAAGGTCAGGGCAGAATTTGGCCCTTGAAAAGGGCTGTGCATTTCTGTGAGCAGCTCTGGGCTCTGCTGCCGGAAGAGACAGCTCGAGCGAGCACGTGGGATCAGCTGGAATGTCTCGTCCTGCTGCAATACCATATCTCGGGGACAGCTGGACGCCGTCCCAGTCAACGTGCAGCCAACGGAGTCAACACGGCTCAGACACCGAGGGGCTCCTGCTCAGCTCCACAGCCCAGCATCACCAGCTGGCAAAGCCTCACCTCCCACCAGCCCCAGTACAGCCACACACACCAAGCACCAAAAACCTGCCCGAGAGCCGGCGGCAGGCGCGGGCCCCCCTCCCGGCCACACCACCCTCGGCATCCCCAGGGCAGAGGGACCCGGGGCCAAAGGGGTGGGATGTGTCCAGTCACTCACAATCATGTTCTCCAGGGCGTACTTGGCAAGCCAGCAGTTCAGAAACACAGGAATGAACAAATTCCGCAAAGGAGGCCAGAATATCTACAAAAGCGAGAGTTACTCGCAGAAAAAGCCATGCTCTTTATCAAAAAAAAAAAAAAAAAAAAAAAAAAAAAAGCTACAAACAGCCAACTCGAGCCTTGCTGGGAAGGATCCATCTGCAAACTAAGCACCGGCCCCCGCAGAGGCTGCCACCAAAAGCGGCCCCGCTCCCCCGGCTGCAGCAGAGCTGCTGGAAAGGGAGGGATGGATTTTGGGATAACGCTCTAGAGCAAGTCATTATATTGAAAAATATTGAAGCCAAAATTTCCTGCCAGCTTTAAATACTACTTGGGCAGACGTCCATTTTTCTTTAGTTCACCACCAAAGCTACAGTACTTATTAAACTTAAAGCTGCTTTAAAATTTCACCAGGAAACACTCACCGTGATAATAAATGGCACGGTGTTGATCATCTCAAGGATGAACGAAATGCGAAAAATCTGTTCCCAGATGTTCCCCTGAGGAATTAAAAACAAATAATAATTAAATAACCGTAAAAATCTGCCAAATTATAATTAAAAATCTCTCACTCTGCCACAGGCCCTGCTAGATGGGGGAACGATGCCAGAGCAGCCAGAGGGATGCTCCGGTTTGCCTGCGGGAGAGAGATGCGGTGCTGGTGCCAGGCACGTTGGAGTCAGTAAAACCTTCCCAAGCTGCTCAGTCCATTCCGTGGCCACCATGTCCCTCTGTCTGTCACTGCCACTGCCCAAAACCGGGGGACAACAACGCTTCGTGCAAGGATGGAGAAGGAGAGTGACTGATACAGATCGCTAGCACCCGCACCAGGCGGGTGACACCTAGTCTGAGTCTCTTCTGCCAACTGGCCCAGGAACCCTGAGAAGGTGCCATTTGTTAAGGTCATTTTTCTTGGCCATTTTAAGAGGCTTTGGTCCAAAGGAGTCAGCTTGTGCCTCTCCCTGTCTGGCTTGGAGCAGTGCCTGCTACCTCCGGAGGCAGCAGACCTCAGCACTAGCAGGAGTCACGCCGCTGAGCTCAGCTCCAGGCCCTCGACCTCAGGGAACTCGGCGCGGGTCAATCTGGCCCCCCCCCCCCATAAAAACCAGCGAGCCTTTGTAAAACAGGTCTGAATTTAAAGGAAAGTGGAGAAAGAAGAGATCCCCCAGCTCTGCTCTGCACAACACTTATCCAGCAGCCCAAGGGGGAACGAGAAAGGAAAATACCCACAGTCGGCTGAGACGTCGCTGAGACAAACATCCTCTCAGGATGCTTCAAGCTCCCGACAGCTCAAAGAAGGAGAGATGAATTCACACCGGGGGGGTCAGCCCCCAGGCTGCGCATCACTGCCCACCGCCTGCTCCCGGGCTCTTACCTTGTAGCTGAGATAGATGAGCAGCATGGTCTCCAGAAAGCTGATTAAAGCGATGCTGACCTGCAGAGAGAGACAGGCAGAGGCTGCCGAGGGCTCGTTTCGATGCATCGTCAGTCGATCAGGGCTCTGCCAAGCCCCCCCCCCCCCCCCCGCCCCGTGCGGCGAGGAGCCCACGGGCACGGCTGACGGAGGGCCCGTTATTTTTTCTTCCCCACACCCGTTTGGGTTTGACGTGCAAGGTCTGCCGGGCGATTCCCCAGGCAGCTGCCCGGCCCGAAAACAGCCCGTTACCAGTCCAGCTGCATCCAGGCTGGGGAGGGACCTGAGCCAGCCTCATGATTTTCTCTCCCCACAGCTTGTCCTCTCCTATCGGCCCCCCGGGATTTTCACCCAGGGCCGTCTGGCTGCTCCCAGTAGAAGCCCCAGCTCGTTTTCTGCTCGCCCAAGACAACCCGCTGCCCCTCGCTGTTGCGGGCAGAGGATGCCCGGAGACACGCCGGCGGCTGCGCTCAAACCCCAGCTCCTTCCCTGCTCTTGCACAGCCGTGCCCGAGGTCCGGGCACTCACCTGCACAGCCCACAGCGGCATTTTCCTATCCACCCAGAAGATGTGTGACCTGCAAAGAAAATTCAAAACAGATCTAACCCGTAGCCTAACCAGCAGTGCCTTTACCCCCCACCGGATGCAAATCTGGAGCCATCACTGATGCAGGATCCAGCACAGGACCGGTACTGGTGTTCCTTACTGGACACCAGTTTGTTCAAGCAGCCTCTGCGCTGAGGATAAGCCATTCCCAAGGGTGCAGGCCACTGCACTCGTCACTTGGGAAGGTCCCTTGAGCAGCACCGTGACTAAAAAATGGCCACGGGCAGCTGCCAGCACCAGCCACATCCATCACTGTGTCCCCATGTCCCAGACCCCAGCACTGGAGCAACGCTCGACTCACCAGTTTATCTTCGTGGACTGGTTGAACTCCGTGTAATTCTGCTTTTCGCATTCCCAGCTAGGAGAAGAGAGACAAAGCAGGGGAAAGCAGTCAGCGGCAGGGCAGGGAGGGGGGAAGGAAAAGGGGTGCTGGTGTTGACTCCCCGGGCTCATGGGGTGCCCCCGCTGCCGTGTCCTGATGCCGGGGGAGGCCACTGGACAACACTCCCATGGATCCAAACGCAGCCTGGTCCTTATAGCCAGGGCTTCCCACTGGAGCCTGTCTCACCTGGGCAGTTTTTAGCATCTTATTACTGGAGAATAAGACCCATCAGGTACTTCAGCCCATACCAGAGATGCTGGGAAATTCTCATGCTTGCCAGGCACGGGGCTCCCTGGGCACAGTGCTCAAACACAGGGCTGGAGCTGGGAATTGCCAGGTTATGATTAGCAAAAGCTGCTGAGCTTCAGCTTCTAGAACAAGGCTAGCTGTGCTCTGAGCAGGCAGCACCGACACCAAGCTCTCCCCTTGCCTTGCTGTGAGGGGTGCGTTGGTTTTGCCACACACCCTCAGGAAAGTGGACGTCCCTAAGCTGCAGCTGTGCTAAACCCTTCAAGGATGTGTGCCTGTGTGACGCTTAGTTCTTGCAGGTTGGAACCCACTTTTGGACCTCAAAGATGTACCCAGTAGTCCGCAACCTTTACAAAGAGAAAATTAAATTGCTAATTCTCCTAGCTCTTGGAAAAAAACACTACACTGCGAGCTAGACAAAGCAAGGACACATTAAAAATAGGTTTATACTGAAACCCAGAGCAAACGTAATCATCTGTCACCCCGGGGATCTAAATGGCAAAACATATTTCCTTCCCAAATGCTTAAATGGGATTTAGCATAACTGTCTTCAAGGACATGAGGATTCAGAAAATACTTGCATGGCGATGCACTGAAATCATGAGCTCTTGCCTGTGTCTGAAGGCCACGCTGCAGCCCTGACCGTGCGAGCCAGGCAGCATTTGGAAATGACCATGACCCTGAATTTTTCCCCCCCCTGCTTTTCCCCCGTGCGCCGTGTCGGGGCAGTGGATGCCCACACGCCTGCCCACGGGGTCTGAGCAGGGAGCAAAGCCCCCCCCCCCAACCCAGCCAGTTCTGCTCAACTCCCAATTCAAACAGCCGGAGTGAGGGGGAAAAAAAAAAAACAAACAACCCAAACCATCCGCCACGCATCTTCCCACCCGCTGCACGGGCAGCCCCGCGCCGGCGGCACCCACCAGCCGATGCCCTCCTCCGGGTTGTCGAGCAGGACGCGGACGATGTAGAGGAGGCAGGTGAGCAGCTTCAGCGAGAAGTTGAAGAGCCGGATCCTCAGGCCTGGGGCGGAGGGGAGGGAGCACGGCGTGGGCCAGGCAGCACCCCCCCAGCACAGCCCCTGTAGTTTCCCACAAGCTCCCCCACACCGCCGGACCCCACTGAGCCCCAGGGCAGCACACAAACACCGCTCACGCTTTGCCCCAGGGCTCTACACCTCCCACCCCGTTTCAGGTATACAGGAGACTAATATAGAAATAAATAACGATGAGTCAGCTCCTAGCTGGCCCCAATAGATACGAGACACAAATGAGGAGCTGCTGGCGTGTATCCCCTCATTAGCAGGCATCCATTAACAAGCATCGTTCAGGCAGGGCCAGGGCCCAGCTCCACTCTCCGCGCTGCAAACAGCTTGCAGGAGGAGGGATGGCAAGCAAAATCTGCTGCTTTATCCACTCTCCCTTCCCAGCCAGTTCATTGGGTTATTACTCAAATTACAAGTGAGAAATTCATCACATTTTCATTAAAAACTTCCCCGTGGGCACCCTGTTGTGCTGCGCTCCGGCTTTGTAACAAGACGACGGGATGCAGGGAGGAAAAGAAAATGTGAATTTATAAATTAAATAGCAGACTCCCTCCAGACAGCTAATGACATCTTGGAGAAAGAAAATAAAAACACCATTAGTCAAGTGGAGGCTAATCAGGACGGCTGAAGCAGGAGCAGGTAACTGAGAGCCGCTGACCTCCCTGCGGGCGGGGGGAGCACCCCTGGCTCCCTGATGGGGTCGTTCGCTCCCTGACCCCCCCCGGGCAGCTCCCAACACCCACCCTGCTCCTGGCCAATTTGTCCCAGTTGGTTCCTGTGCTGCAGCTGTCCCCAGCGAGCAAAGGCAGCAGGCAGCGTCCCCTCCTCCCCGTGCAACCACGTCCCCCCCCAAACCAAGCTGGTCAACACCCAACAGAAAGGCCAAGAGGCAGCAGCGGCCCCGGGGCTGGGGACACAGAAGGAAACAGCCACCAGCAGATGGCAATGGCTTCTCGTCCCGCGAGGACGGAGCACGGCTCTCCCAGCTCGGGCAGGGTTGGGTTTCTCCCGGCAGAAGCTCACGCTGCGTCGGGAACACTCACTCGATCGCTGGTTTTTGATGAAGAAGAGCTTCAGCCGCTCCTTGAAGGTGTTTTCATTCACGTAGAACTCGACCTGCACCCTGTGGGGAGAACGCCCAAAGAAATCCGTCAGTGGGGCAGCGGGTTGGACCCAGGGCCCCCCAGGAGCCCTGTCCCCCCATCCCTGTTGGGTGACCCCCCCGAGCAGCCCACATCAGACCCCAGGGTTGAGCCCCAGGCTCCCAGCTGCACCCACAGTACTGGTACCACCAGCCTGTGGTGCATCACGTTACCACGACGTGGTGCATCAAAGCAGCAGACGTGACCCACGGGACCAGGTCTGCTTTGGCCTGAGGGGTTTTGCTTTCATCCACGTGCAGCCAGCTGACATCGGGCTTGCAAACTTCTCCTTTACCGCACGCTTCACAGCGTTCAAAAGCCTCTCAGAAAAGCGGTGGCCCAGAGCAGTCTCCCCCATAGCTGCAGCAGAGCAGAAGGTGACGTCCCGTACACCCATGCGCTGGCTCTGCCCGGGTAGGAGCAACGTTCAGCATCAAAGCCATTAAAAAAACCAAATCTGAACTAAAAGGAGAAAAATTCCCTTTGTTGCTAAGATACCACATTTGCCCATTCCAGAAAAACCCAGGAGCTGCTCAACCAACTCCCAACGTCACTTGGCATTCGGAGCCGCCCGTGGTTGGTCGCGCGGGGACGAGGCAGAAACCGCCCCGTCCACCGCTGTGACCACCACGAAGCCCTTCTTCATCTGCAACTGGCCCCGTCTCCACCACTGCCCCCCACCCGCAGCCCTCCTGCCCGTCCCCACGTGCCGGGTGGGTGCCCACGACCGCGCCGATGGGCGAAAGCCTCACCAAGGCTGGAGGATCCTCACCACGGGTGTCAGCGGGGTCTGGGACCAAGCACACGTGGATTAAGGGTTTGCAGGCAAAACTGGTCCCTGCTCAGCTCATCTGCCACCTCCCTCTCCTCTTACTTTATAAACGCCCGCAGCCCTTTGCAAACTCACTTATTCACACTGGGCAGGGTTATAAATTACACTCCTGCCTGCTAAACGCAGGTGAAAAGGGATTGTTTCCTGATGTCTTGGCTTTCGACTCTGAGCAAGACAGTCTGTTCATTACTGTTACAGCTGATAATGGAGTTAAGTGCAATGAATTAGCAGTTTCCCCTGTTTTACCGTATTCAACAAGTCTCTTAAATAAGTGCTACAGTTATTACAATTTTCTTAACTGCTTGGAAGAGGTCATCAAGATCTCATTACTCAGGCATATTACCAAGCCAAGGCACAGACCAAGGTGAGTAAATTCACAGGGCCCGTCATTAAACCTACCACCCCATTTTATTTCACCTGTGCAACCCCCGTGTGCACGTGGCGCTGGCTCCAGCCCAGCGTGCTGCCTGGCACACGCCACTGAATCGTGATTTACTGGAAAGCAGCTGCTACTCACTCTGACAACGGAGGGATAAACAAATATTTACTGAGTATTAACGCTGAGCTAATTGGGCAGCAAATTGGGAAAGGGTTTTATGAGACACTCATTGCTCAGGAGACCCTCATCCTGGTACCCACCGGCACCCGTTGGCATTTCACAGCCAGCCCGACTGCTCATGGGCAACTGCCCAGCATGTAAAAAGCGTGGCTCACCCTCGGGGCTTCTCATGGACTCCCTTATCAGGTTGGAAAGTCAGATTTTTAACTTACAAGGCTCTTATGTACAAAACGCAAATGGACAGAGAGAAGCCCATCACCTCAGGCACTAAAGGTGGGATAAAATTTTACACGGGCTATCAAACTTTGTATGGTTCTGCCATGAGCCAGGAACTGCTCTCCAGCTTAACCTCCCTCGGTGTGAGGCAGTGGATGGAGTGACAGGCTGGGGGGTGGCCGATTCACCCCGAGAGCCCGTCCTTCCACATTGCCCCGATGCTGCTGGAGCAGCACAGCCTGGACCGGGGAGGGGTGGGGGGCTCAGAGAGCTGAGCTCCCGTTCCCAGCTGCAGACACACCCTCTGCAGACCCCAGCCCTGCCCCGGGGCCCCTTGGCAGGACGTCACGCACCGAGCAGCTCCGTAACGGAGGTGACAATAACCAGCAGCCTCGGTGGGGCAGTCGCCCGTCTCCGTTGAGACCTTTGGCATGTGGTTACAGTGCCAAGGGGAAGGATGCTCGGGTGCAGCCGGCAGCGCTCAGCAAACCCGGCAGCAGCGCGGCGAGCGCGGCGCTCCTCACCGGGACAGTTCAGAGCATCAAGCGAAGAAAACGCTAAAACACAAACGCACCCGAGGCGGCACCAGGGGGGCTCCACCGAGAACGTATCTCACCCCAAACATCCCCAGCTGGCAGCGGCAGGGATGGGAGCTGAGCCTGCGTCTCCCCTGGGACCCCGATGCTCGCGGGGACCCACCAGCTGAAGGGAGAGGCAGGGAACTTTGCACCGAACCCGGTGCGTGTCCCCCAGCCACGCTGGGTGGCACGAGAAGGGAGCGGGGGGGAGGTGGGGGGCAGCCCCAGACCCTGCTACGGAGACAGCGAGCGCCGGGGAGCGAGCAGGAGGGTTCACGCCCGCTGGCTCAGGCAGCACGATGCCTTAGGAGCAAGCAGCCATAGCTGCAGAGCTCCGTCAGCACAGCTTTAACACAGGTTAAAAATAATCATTTCCAAAGCCAGACTTGGCAAATGATTTATCTGTGTCAGGGCATAAATCAGCTGCCACAACTGCTCACGACACTGCTCACACAAGCTAATTGCTTCCTCCTTATTAAAAACGCCCAGGAAATGCTAGGAACTGGCCGTCAGCTCTGTCGTGAGCGCCGGGCACCCCATTCATCAGAGTCCCTGAGGATTCTGTGCATCGAGGAGAGGGAGACTTCGGGGAGCACGATTCCTCTCCCAGACATTCGCCTCCGTACTGAAGAAACAAACAGCAATATAAATCTCTGTCGCCAGACAGATGGTTTGCTGATCCATAGCGTTGCAGCCCACCTCGAGACTATGAATATAAATGCTGATGGATAAGAGAACCGAATTATTAGACAAGATCTAACTTTTTATGACAAATTAGCCCGTGTATTCATCCGTCATAATGGCCTCAGGAAGAAGAAACACTTAGAAAGCAACTGAAATGGGTCTTGGCAGGGGGATTGGGGGTTTATCACTGCAAAGAGAGGAAGGAATAAAAGCAAGTAGAAAGGACATGTTCCTGTGCAGACGCTGCTAACGGGGCTGAGCCCCTGGAGCTGTGGGGGGGTGCACAGCCACGGCCCCGCCGATGCCCCGGCACCCCGCCGGGGTGTCCATCCCACGGGGCTTCTGTCTGGCGGAGGAGGGAGGGCAGAGCAAGGGCTCGGCGTGCTGGGGACCTGGGTGCTGCCACGGCCCGACAGCCCGCTCCAGCTCCAGCACCCGCCGGGTTAAACCAACACCCCAGAGCCACCCCACGGCGGAACCAGGGATGGCTTTTACCAGGCAGCAGCAGCCGTCCAAAAGTACCAGAACTCCTACTCCATTTCCAGCTGAGTGAAGGAGATTAGATTGTCTAAAACATACCCTTCAATTCCGTCGTCAAGAAGTTAACTTCAAATTAAAAAAATCAAGCTAAACTCCAAGTTCATTACTGCCTCATAACACACACTATGACGGGCTCTGCCTTCACAGCAGCTCAGCCAAGCTGATCCACCCAAACTGCCACGGCCGAGCATCCCGCCCGCCGGCCGGGCATCCCGGTGCCAGCCCAGCCCGGGCAGCACCCAGGGGTGCAGGCAGCGGCAGGCTCGGCGGGAAGGGAGCAGGCACCACGCTGCTCCCCCGGCTTGAACCTCCCCAGGCCGTGCAGATAATCATCACAGCACAAGCCGAGTTACAAGCTTTGTGCTTGCAAGTGTAATTGCCACTATTATACACTTCATAATGCCTGAGCAATTTCATTTTTTTTCGCTCGGTTATTTATTGTACTTTATTAATCTAAGATTAGAGGCAATTTGTTCTAAGATGATGACCTCCTAAAAAAGACACAACAGTTTGTCTAGAAAACTGCAGGATGCAAGACCAGGATGAGCACAGCCCGGCCCACCGGTATTAAAATAGACACGGAGGAGCACAGCCCCGGCTCCATATTTGTACCTTCCCCAGAGAGCTGGGGATAAACACACTCCCCTTAAAGACAAGTAAACCACAAAAAATAGCAACCCACGGGCAGTCCCACGCCAGGGCTCACCCGCCCGGGCAGCGCAGGCAGGGATGGGGGGACAGAGATGTACCCCCCGAGCTCTGCGTCCCCAGGAGACTTACATGGGCAGTCGGGCAGCTCCCCTCCGGTCCCCGCGGCGTGTGACAGCCACCAGGCATGGCCTGAAAACTGAGACGGCTCCAAAATCCACCCAGCTGCCACCCCCTACGCCGGGCCGCTGCCCAAAGCCTCCCTGCTGCTTTCCAAAGAAGGACGTAGGTGCCCAGGGTGCTTTTGCTCTGTTTCGCAATAGAGACTTCTTGTCATGAGAAGTGTGTATCTGCAAATAAATATGGCTTGTGAAAGAGAAGAAAAAGTCTCAGCATCAATCCGCAGGCCCAATCCTTGCTCTCACACTCCAGCTGGGTGGGAAATGCCGTTCTTGTTCCAGGAAACTTCTCAAGAAACTTCTCCCCCATCGTGTAGTGGGATGCAAATGAGACTCTTTAGAGATTTGGGGGTGGAGGGGGGAAAAGACAAACCAAAACCAAAATCTCTGCAATCTAGCGGCTTCCAACACCCACCTCTGCCAAGACAGTGTAGTCTCAGATGAGACCCCACTTCATCCCCCTGCTCTGGCTGAGCCCGGAGGACGGCTCCGCATCCTCCCTGCAAAACCACACAGGTCAAATACATTAGAAACGTGGCCGTGGCACACAATAGCTGAAATGAAAGAAAGGTGCTGATGGCCCAGGTGGACTCACTGGGGATGGGCTGCGGGTACCAGATGTGGCCCCGGGCAGAGGAAGGTGAGGAGCAGCGCTGGAAGTGCAGCTCTGCAACGTTTCTGCCCTCAGCATCCTGCAGTGGATGTCGTGCAAAAATCAGGGTGCTGCTCAGCAAAGCCACCGCACCGTGGGGCAGCGGGGGCCTAAGTCCTTCCCCCAATGAACCACTGACCCAGGCAGCTTGAGGCTCAGATACCTGCTGAGGGAAACCACATAAACTACACAGGCACATCTCCAGCGGCTGCCAACCCTCCTGATTGCCTTCAGACATGCTCTTTCCTTTTTTTTTTCCCCACCATTTTCTTGATGGCAACAGGCATTCGGGCACAGAAGCTACAGCGAGACGGATGACGTCGAGTGAGCGTTGTGTGCTGAAGACCACCTCTGTGATGGATGTGTTTGCCGTCCTCCATCTACCCCGGGGCGAGCGGGGGACGGGGCGGGGGGCAGCTACGGCCCTTCCCCCCAGCGCTCCCGGCGCGACGAGCCGCTCCCAGCACACCGTTTTGAGATGGGAAAGGGGAATAAGCCGGACGGCTGCGTGTGCATAGAAAGCCTGGGCGCCTGCCAAAGTAAGAAACAAGGAACAGGCTGCCCCCACGCTCAATAAGCAGTAATTGAACAATTACTCAAAGGAGGACGGTTGTGGGTTTCAACAAGGCTGTACCAGCTCAACGCCGGCGAGCGTGCAAGAAAACGGCTTTAAAACTGTGTGGGGCTGCACGGCTCCGGGGCGGGGGGAGCATCCCCTGCATCCTCCCGGCCCCGTGCAGGGACCAGCCCGCAACAGGGGTTCTGCAAAATCTGCGCCGTGTCCCTCATCGGCCGGGGGGGATGCAGGGGCTCAGCCCTCCTGGGGAGAAGCCAGGCAGGATGGATGCCGTGCCGGGCGCCCAGTCCCCCTCCCAGTGAGCTGGGTAGCTCCACCAGCACAGTCACCAGTCCCCCGGCCCGGAGCCGTCCCCCCCGTGAATATCGCAGCTTCTCCAGGGGGTTATCAAACACCCCCGGATACCCCTCGCTGCAGCAGCTTCCCCGATCGATGGCTGGCATGTTTTTTAAACAAGAAAGCACAAAGCAACCAGAGAGGGACTGGGAGCCAGGGCAGCGCCTGCCTCTCCCCACTTTGCAGGGGGAAGACATCCCCCCCCCCTCCCAGCCAACGCTGCCAACCCGGGGAGGGGAAAAGGGAGAGGGGAGACGTGTCTCAGGGCGAAGAGCTGGCACCAGGAGGGCAGGTCTCAGCGCCTGGGAGGTACGTCAGAGCGCTTGGGAGACCAGCAGGGCAGTCTGCATGGTCTAAAAGGCCAAATGTTGCAAACGGGGGAAAATCTGCCCGTTTCCTACGACTCGTTCCTGTCCCCCAGCCTTTAGTGGGGGCGATACCGAGGTCACTTCCCCACCTGGTTCTGCAGAGTCCCAGGCGGGTCGTGGCGGCTCCCAGCCCCGAGGTGCTCAGCAGGTCCCACACTGGCCTCTCGTGGCCCCATCACAGCCACCCTGGGAAGGCGGCTTCTCCCGCCGGAGCACTCCGAGCCACGGTTCACGCAGCGCCAGGAATGAGTTCCCTGAGCTGCCGGGGCTCCCGGCAGAGCACACGCCGAGGCACATCACAAACGACGATTAGCAAAATTGAGTTCCACACCAATAGACACGCTGCACTGGGAACCACAATGCTGTGGCACACATCGCGCCAGGACCAGCTCAAAAACTTGTTTCTTCAAGATTTCATGCATTTAACCATGAGAATAAATCAGGGAAGAAAAGCATTTCCTGTTTTATTATGGAGTGTGATTTTTGCCCAAAGAAAGGAGCAATATTGCCAACCACTCTGCGGCAAATTAAACACAGCTGGATGCAGGTAATGTCATCCTGGCTCCAGCAATAACACTGCTATTTTATTCTGAGGGGATGAAAAGCAAGTTCCAAGCAGCCGCTTCTAGAAAAACTCTGCTCAAGACCAGGGTTGGCCTCAAAGTCCAGTCCTCACGGCCACTCACCTTGCACCATGAGAGGAGCAATGCCCTGAACTCATCCACACAAGCACTCCCGTGTCGGTGGGCCAACAGCTGGGCAGGAGGCACCGTGAGCCAGGACACAGGCACTGCCCACCCCTGACACACACTGCGGGAAAGGCTTCATGAATCTAGTGCTAAAAAAAAAATCTGCTGCTGGACTTCTTTTTCCAGCTTTTTTTTTTTTTTTAGGGAGGACACTGCAACGGAAATGGGATTTTTATCAATTTGTCGTTCCCCAAAGGCAACTCTAATCCCTCTCCAACCGTATGTAGCAGCTGCAGAGCTCATTTTCAGGCACCAAACAAAGCACTGGAGGCAACAGGGATGCACTCAAGGGTTGAAGATCTCTCCATGCAAGCTGGGTGCTGAGCTCAGGAGGACGGGGAGCCCCTGCCAGCAACGATGCGCTACAAAGGGACCCGATCCAGGCTCTCGCTCGGCACTGCCCCAGTTCACACACCCCCAGCCACGGGCCCTGGGCAAGGACACACTCAGCCCCAAAACCATCTTCCTGCTGCATCTCCCATCCAAGGTCTCAGCAGCCTCGTGGATGCACGGAGCAGCCCCAGCCCTGGCCCCACGCTGCTCACGGCCAGGCAGTGGCACCGCTTGCTCTTAATAAAATAATAATAATAATAAAAAGGAAGCGAAGAAGCAACGGAATAACACGCTGTGGTTTGTTTGGCTTATTTGTTTTGCAACATTGGAGATTGACGCTCATGAGTCTGCTCCTATAATTGCTTCTGCTGATGAATCTGGATTGTTTAATTAGAGTCTGCGCATGGAGCTCATCGCTAATGGGTAATCACCAATTTGCTGCCAAGGATATCACTTCTTCCCCAAGAAACCTGTCTGTGTCTGAGCGCAGCTAGTCCTCCCCATTGTGGGAACCGTTGCTCTTTCAGAAGGGTTTGCTGGTCCCGTTCACTCCTTGGTGCCAAGAGCAGCAAAGGAAAAACCTCGTGCTTACCAGCTCCCTTCAGAGCAGAACAATCTACCACTAATTTAAAGCCAAGGCTAACTGCCGTCCTTGGCAGCGGGTACAGCCCAAAACACTCGGCTCACGAGGCGCCGCGCGCACACGCACCGCACAGACACCCCAAATCACAAGAGGTTTTTTTTTTTTTTGCTCTCCGGAGAACGCGGTTGGCTTTTCCCCGGTGGAAGAGTGACGGTCCCCGGGGCCGGCGGTGCCACGGCGGCCCTCGCCCCCTCCCCGCAGCGCCGGCGCGGGGAAACGCACGCGGTGAACTTACTGCGAGAAGGAGGAATCCACGCTGAAGTCCTCGGCGTGAGGCCTACGGAGCGAGAGCAGCACAGGAGGTGAGCGAAACGGAGGGGTGCCGGGCAGAGAGCAGAGCGACAGCCGGAGCCGCGGGGAACAGCGACCGCCCGAGTGCTGGCCGGGGGGCTGCGCCCCGCCAGGATGTGGCCCTGCCGAGGTCCCCAGGGTGGGGACGTTGGGGACCCGGTGATGCTCCGGTGGCTCTGCCAATGTACGGCCCCTTTAAGGACTCAGCTTCACAGATAAAAATATTTTTTGGTGGTTTGGTTTTTTGTTTTGTTTTTTTTTTTGTTTGTTTGTTTTGTTTGGTTTTTTTTTGTTTTGTTTTGTTTTGTTTTTTTAATGAGTCTCGCAAACTGCATCGCTGCTCGGCCTCAAATCAGTGTCACACTTTCTCCGGAGAAATTAGATTTTGAAAGATGCCGGTTGGGGTCTTTTTAGGAACCTAATACTGCGTTTCTCCTACACACACCTTCCCAGAGCTGATTCTATAGACACAGGTAAGGACCAAAAAAAGGAAAACAAAATAAAAGAACAGAAAGGAATGATGAGGGTAACGCAGGGGATCATGGCAGGGGGAGAAAAAAGAACAGAGATGTATGAGAGTGGATGGGAGGTGAAGGGACCGTGCCCGTGTACTGTACATCCTGCAGACAGACAGACAGACAGCACAGTGCTATGAAATAAAGCAATTGCAGCTGTGAAGAAAGAAAGAAATTCCCTTTGCAAAACCAACACTTTCTTCAAGACATAGCCATCCCCGTGGATGGCCACTGGTCCCTGTCACCCCAGCTGGAGCCCTTCCCTGCCTCCCAGGGTCCAGCCGTGCCCTCTCTTCTTATTTAATTTGAGTCGGGGCAATTGAGACATTTAATCAAAGCAAAGGGGGCAGCTGCAGCTCAAAGGTTTTTCTTTTATTTTGCTTTGTGCTTTATGAGTCCACAGCACTCCGGCATAGTTCAAACTAAATAAAAGTAATAAATTGACATTTCAATTAAAATGCCAGTCCAAAGGAAATCTAATTCATCCCTCAGCTACAAGGCATGCAGAGCAGCCTTCCTGCGACATTGTATTTAGTTTGCTACTACTCTTCTTGTATTATCTGTGCGAAGGCTGCAGGGAGGAGCCCACCGCCCCGCAGACCCACCACCTTCCCCTGCTCATTTTTAACTTGCTGGTGCGATGACCACGGGGCAGTAAGTCGCTTCACACCCGGGTGGTCTCTCCTGTCATCTCCCCCAGCAGTAACGAGCCCCAGGGTGGGTTCAGCAGCTGCCTCGTCCCTCGGAGCAGCCCCGGGGTTTATTCATGACAAACGGTCCAGAGTTTCTCCAGCTGCAAACCAGAGGCAAGCGCAGCCCCGGGAAGGAGCTCCACCAGCTCAGCCTCCCTCCCGCCAAACTGGATTATCCCACATTAGCAGCAGGGGCTGTTCAAGCCCCTCCACTCACGTTTGGTTTTGTGTAGGAGCCTTTTGTGCCTCGCAGACATGTCTAATGGGAAAGAAACAGCAAAAGATTTGGTTTTCTCCTCCTATACTGCCAGCTGGCAACCGGGAAGACTGTATGAACAGGGGCTTATCTCAGCTGCAGCTCCCCAAGGCAGAAGAACACTCCTGAAAACCAAACAGCAATGGCACATTTAATCACACAGCTCGATGGGGTCTTGCAGACCCCAAAGCTCTGGTGTCACCGTGGGTCCCGGAGCACCGGGGTGTCCCAGGACACCTTCCCCAGGCAGGCAAGTCACAGGCTTGCTAGGCGAATAAACATCTCGCTCACAAAAAGGCAGCAGGAATAAAAGGGACTCGGAAGTGATGGGCAGAGCAGTAACTCCCCCAAACAGTGGGCTTGGCCACTCTGTGGTTAAAGCACGTGTGATAAAATAGTAACAAAAAAAGTGCTCTGGGCTTCCAAAATGAATGAACTGCTTTATGAGGATCACAGGAGGAAGAAGCGACACTGAGATGTCATACTGAAACCTCTCCTTCTTCCCATCAGGCACCCAAAGTCTCATAAACAGTCTAATTGCTGAGAAAATATAGAAAGTTCTTTAAGAAAACTAAAAATCACCCCAATTCTCATCTGAAAAACTGTTGGGTTTTTTTTTTCAGATCCCAAAGACTTCTCAGAAGAGTGGAGCTGCTCACCCAGTACCAGAGGGGCTGCGCAGGCATCCTCCCTCCGCTGCCCCTCACAAACCCCACTCCAGCCTTTGGGGCCTCGCCTGCAGTGTTACTTATCTGACAATTAATCCAGGTTACCTGCTAGAGGGGATTAGCACGAACCCTTTTGTGCACAGTCTCACTTGAAAGGAAAAACTAGATTTACAATATACAGAATTAAGGCTATTTAACTGAGTCAGAAACGTTACACTAGCTTTTAATGTGTTTTAGATAATCTACTTTAAACTCACTTTTTGATTTCATCCAGATCTGCCTCCCTGAGTATCCCTGCGCAGACAAACCTCAACCCATCTCGTTCCCACCACGGAAGGTAACTATGACACAGGCAGCGAGCCCGACCTTCGCTCCCCTCCGGAGTCCAGGGTCCGGGAGAGAAGCGCCGTACCCGGAGAGGGAAAGCCGAGGCCCCTCGTCTTGGCCCCTGCAAACCGCTAAACCGCGATGCCGAGCTCCCGGCTGGCACAAGCGGCACCTCCCGGGAGAGGGGCAGAGCAGGGAAGGACGAGGGAAAGGAGAGGAGCAGAGGGGGGAAGAAACTTTGCTGCTACAGCGGCAGGTCTGCCCTCGCGTTTGAAGCTGCAGCCCTTTATAAAATGGAAAGGTTTTATTAGAAGGAGAAGAGACAATGGCGTATTTATTCTTAGAACAAAAGCCGCTCATACACCTTGCTTATGTACAAGAGAGAGCAACCACCTGCCTACCCACGCTGTGCAGCAGCTCCTCGGCTGAGCAGCCACCTTTTCACCCCCTCCTGTCTCCCCAGCTCCAGCTCCGGCTCCAGCACACCCCAGTAAAGGTAGATCTCCTCCCTCGGGCTGGGCAGGGGTGCAGGCAGCACTCCCTGGGCCCTGCTCCCCCAAAGATTCAGGTCCCTCCACTCCAGGGAGGGGAAGGCGGCCGGCCCCGAGCCCCAGCTCTCCTCCCAGCTCTGCCAGGGCACTGCAGGATCTGGGTGGCATTCAGCTCACCCATCTCATGCAGATAATTTGCAGATAAACACTCGCCCTGCGTTGAAAGTGGTTGAAGATGCTCAGACGGAGGAGAGAGCAGCAATGCACAGCAGCAGCTCAGCTGAGCTCGCAGAGAGATCCACTCCCTCCCAGCAAACTCCCTGCCAGCTCCGCGCCTTCGCCACTGCCTTCTGATTTTCCTAGGAGGTATTTTGGTAAATGAAGAGTATTAAAAATTCATTTCTGGTCATGCAGTTCCTATTCAATTTACAGCCGTCATTTCCAAGCAAAAAATAATAATAAAAGCATGCCTTGACTTAAAACCCCTGGAAGTTACAAAGACACGAGTAATGACCTGCCAACGCCACACTCAGCTTCAGGCTGCTTAATAACCACTTGCAAGGCTCAGAGGCGTTTCGAGACCAGTGTTTTGACTCCATCTCAGATCTGGAGGAGAGAGTTGTCAGATTTAGTGCCCTTTAGCCCCCGGCCTCAGAATGCCTCCAAGACAGGGGCAAGGCAGAGAGGTTAAGATGAACTGAGCAATGCAACTGCTTGGGGAGACTTCCCGAAGCGATGTTCATCCCCCTAAGACATCAGATGCACCATGGTTCCTACCATATTGACAGTGAGAAACTCATCCCCCAGAAATAGCCCGATGTGAGAGGGACAGATGGGAGGAGACGAAAAAAGAAAGTAAAGAGGGGGAGAAGGAACAAGCGAGAGGAAAGGGAAAGGGAGAGGAAAATGCACGCGTCCTGCTTGCAAACACGTGCGAGAGGGGAGGGCATGCTCAGCGCCGGGGAAGGGCAGCCCAGCTCCCCGGCTGCGGGATGGGGCAGGGGGGACCCCAGCCCCCAGTACCCCCCGCTCTCGAGGAAGCTTGGCAAGCTGGGGGCACCCCAAAAAGCCACCGAGGGCTCCGGGCACCCGCTGCTGACAGCTGCCCGGTGGCTGGAGCAGCGGCCACACGAACAAACCCTCCCGCCACCGGCAGCGGACGCGAGCGCAGCAGCCTCCTCCCCACCCAGCGGCACTTCGAGGGGCTCTTGTTTCCACCCCGGAGGTAGATTTTTTTTCTTGGCGCCCCTCTGCGAAACCTACACTGCAACTAAAACTTTAGAAGCAAATGAGGCGCGGTGCCAAAATCGCAGTGTTGCCCGCTCCAGCCAGACGAGCCGCTCCCAGCCCAATGCCCAGCAGCTCCTGGCACTGCCTGCAATTACCTTCCAGAAAGTTTAGGCTCTCCCAGAGAGGCAGGAGCTGCCAAGGCCTGGGCACTGGGCTCTGCCCACTGGGCAAAAAAGGCCTTACAGGTGCTGAGGCAGCTCTAAAGCACCCCTCCTGCCTTTGGCTAACGAGCTAAACAAGTTCCTGCGGTCCCGTCAAGCGGCTGAGCCTTGCAGAGGAAGGACTGTGCGCCAGCTCGGAGGTGGGATGCGAGGCCACGGTCCCGCACGACCCCGACGGCAGCTTGTGCCCACGCAGAGGCACAGCCATGGCTGGCACCCCGCTCTCACCGCAGGCAGGGGAGCTTCCACCGGAGGAGGAAAGTGCTAATCCCCACGCCCTGATGGGAATGGGGGACCTCAAAGAAACAGAGCAAGAGCCCAAGCGCTCGTTTCGAGTGCAGGCATCCCTAGGTTAGGCGCCTCGTCTGCATGTCAGCGCCTAAATAGGGCACTGAGATTTTCAGCGGCGCTGGCGTCTACACCAGCAGCCGTGGGAGGAATGCTCAGCGCTTCCAAAACTCAGCCTGTTCCCCTCAGGCGCCCGGCTGCAGCGCTGCCAGCTCAGGGGTGAGCATCGCCCCGCGCCCAGCGGGGTGCAAGAGCTTTCTGCCGGAGTGTGCCTGGGGTCAGGGGTTTGAGGGATGGG